AGAACATCACATTGCTCACCTCTATTACCTCCCAGAATAATAGTTAATCTTTAAGGGACACTTTCTATGTGCCCTGTACCTGCTAAGTTATCCTAGGTCAGTGGTTGGCAAATTGCAGCTCGCGAGCCACACGCGGTTCTTTGGCCCCTTGAGTGTGGCTCTTCCACAAAATTCCATGGCCTGGGCGAGTCTATTTTGAAGAAGTGGTGTTAGAAGAAGTTTAAGTTTTAAAAAATGTGGCTCTCAAAAGAAATGTCAATCATTGTACTGTTGATATTTGGCTCTGTTGACTAATGAGTTTATCCTCACAACTAGGTCATCCTCACAAGATTTCTCCTTGGTAAGTCTTATTTCCCCATTCTAAAGACGAGGAAACTGAGACTCAGAGAGGCTAAGAGTCTTGCCCGAGTCCAGCCTCCATGCCCACCCGCTTAAGCACTGTTGGGCCCGCCCGGTCAGGATGGCTCAGGCTGGGAGGGAGGCAATCCTGGCTTCTGAGAACCCAGCCAGCATTGAAACGGGCTGGACCTCATCCTAAACTAGTGGTCAATACCCAGCACTACCAGCAACACTAATAATGAGCATTTCCCAGATGCCAGGCCTGTGCCAGGTGCTTTACACCCATCACCTCATTTAATGCCCCAACAGTCCTGATAGGCTGGTGGTGTTATGCCCATTTTTTAAAGTTGAGGGCACAGAGGTCAAGAGGGTTAAGTAACTAGTGGTAAGGACACATGACCAAGGAGTGTCAGAGCCAGGGTTCAATCCCCCTTGATCTGGCCCAGAAGCCCATGTACTTCTGACTTCACTGTGCTGCCTGTGGACCCCACTCCAGTGATTAGGACACGGCGTGGGCTCCTCCAGCACCTGGGGACCAGCAGCGTCAGCGTCACCTGGGCTTCTGTTCAACATGTAGAACAGAAGCCCCCCTTGGCCTAGACCCGGGGTCAGCAAACTGCGGCTCGCGAACCACATGCGGCTCTTTGGCCCCTTGAGTGTGGCTCTTCCACAAGATACCACGCCCTGGGTGAGTCTATTTTGAAGAAGTGGAGTTAGAAGAAGTTTAAGTTTAAAAAATGTGGCTCTCAAAAGAAATGTCAATCGTTGTCCTGTGGATATTTTTGGCTCTGTGGACTAATGAGTTTGCCGACCACGGGCCTAGACCTACTGATTCAAAATCTGAATTGTTGCCCGAGTGGTTTGGCTCAGTGGGTAGAGCATCAGCCTGTGGATTGAAGAAGGGTCCCTGGTTCGATTCCAGTCAAGGGCACATGCCTGGGTTGTGGGCTTGATCCCTATTGGGGGACATGCTGGAGGCAGCCAATCAATGATTCTCTCTCATCACTGATGTTTCTATCTCTCTTTCCCTCTCCCTTCCTTTCTGAAATCAATAAAGGTATAGTTTTTTTTGTTTGTTTGTTTTTAAAATCTTTATTGTATCAAGATCCCCAAGTAATTCACAGACACAATACAGCTTGGGGAAGTCCTGCTCTAGCTCACATAGCTCTTCACTCCCGTCCCCCCAGGGGCCTGCCACCAAGAACTGAGGCCAGGAAGGGAAGGGCAGGAGCTGAGGGCTTCTGCCTGAGGGGAGCAGGGGAGCAGGAGAGGATCCCCCAGTTATCACCCCTCCTGTAGGTAGCCATCCCTCGTTGGGTCCTCCAGGCACACAGAACTGCACAGGTGTGAGTCCATGCACCCCTCCGGAGAGATGGCAGAGCGCCTCGCAGGGTCTCGCAGCCCAGCTTCAGCCAACGCCCAGAGGCTTGGGAGAGTCCCCAGGCCCCCGCAGGAAGGGGTTAAAAAAGAACAAGTCACACTCGGGCTCTAATAATTCCACCCCCTGGTAGGGAAGGTTTCCCGGCCTGAATCCCAGGGAGGAGGAAGCCGGAGGCGGGGAGCAAACTTGGGCAGCTTGCTGTTGTTGGCCAAGTCAGTGAAGCTGCCTTTAAATGAAGATGGAAGTCCTGGCTCCCACCACTGGGCGCCTTCTATGCGCCGGGCAAAGTGTGGGTGTGCCAGTCCCCACAACCGTCTCTCAGGGCAGGTGTGCATGTCACAGGCGAGGAAACTGGGCCACGCAAGGCTCACCGGTCCAGCGTTTCCCTCTTAACAAGTGTCTCCATTTTCACCCCCCCAACCAGCAGCACATGGAACAGCAGGGCGGAGAAAGCTAGATTGCTAGACGCTCAGCCCTCATGCCAGGACCCTGACCCACTCCGTCCTAAAAGGGAGGTACGTGGAGCGGAGTCCCCTAGGAATCAGCCTGTAGTTCAGCCCACTCTGGTCAGGCCAACGTCCGATGCAGCGTCTGAGCCCCCTGGGGTGGGAGGGGGTTATTCCCTGGGGTCAGCCCACCTGCCCACAGAGACTGGACCCCGTCTGCTTCCCTGCGTTAGTCCTCTGGGGGGACTGGGTGCCTGTAGGGGTGCTTAGCACGCCCCTCCCCATCAGCCGCTGTGGAGCAGGCAGGAGAGGCGGGGCCTCAGGGGCTCCTCACACCTTTCCAGCCCTGCACCCTCCCAGCCACCCCATCTGCAGTGCCTGCAGGTAGAAGGCAGGGAGTTCTTCCCCAAGGAGGAAACCCAGGCAACGAAGCAGCCCTGCAGGTTTCTAGGGACAGCAGCCTGTGAAGTGAGAAAAGGGATCCAGCCACTGCTTGCTTGATATCCAAGCGTTTCCCCATGCCCCCTCCCACCCACCCCCCGCCTTATGGGGGGAGAGAGGCCATATCAGACTGCCAGTGTTTGGGGGCAACACCCCCCAGCTTTCCCCGGACCCGGACCCGCCAAAGGCTTAACGAAGGTGACCTCACCCACCACTGCTTCCCCCCGCCAGAGCCCAGAGCGCAGCTTTTTATACCGTTAGGCATCTAAGGGAACCAAACATCTTGAAAGTATTACCATTTATAGAAAAACACATTTGCAATTAACTATATAGAAACACCTGGGGATTTATCTCCCAGGCGCACAGGTCACCAATCCCCGGGCATTGATGTGGGTGAGGGAGTGGGGCCCGAAAAGTCTCGTTTCTTTCACCCGCAAGCTGCCCCCTGTGCGTGCTTCTCCTCCTCACACCCAGCCATCTGCTCCGAGGGCACACCAGCCTTCCCCTGCCCGCCGGGAGGGAGGGCCAGGGCATGAGGGTTGCTGAGCCAGATTCAGCCTCGAGGTCCAGGGCTGCCTCCGGAAAGCTCCATATGGGGGCCTGGGCCAGCCTTCCTGAGAACAAAGGGGCATCTCACACGCGACCGGAGGGCTCCTGCCTCAGGACGATTCATCACTCACCAGCCGCTCAGAGCAACTGTGCAAAGGCCCTCAGAGCCAGGAAGAAACCTGTCAGGGATCAGGCAGGAAGGAGGCGGCGTGCCATAGGAGTTAAGCGGGAGGGTGTAGGGTTCAGACTGCCTAGACCAATGGTCGGCAAACTCATTAGTCAACAGGGCCAAATATCAACAGTACGACGATTGGGATTCCTTTGGAGAGCTGAAAACCGACTTGTGCGCGGGGGCCACGGAGTTTCAATCGCACTGTACGTGCGCGCCCACACGTGGGGTTTTGTGGGAGAGCCACTCTTGAGCTGCAGGTTGCCGACCACTGGCCTGGACTCAGTCCTGGCTTCTCTGCTTACCAGAATGGCCCTGAATCCCCCTAAGTGTCAGTTTTCTCAGCTGTGAAAGGGGGATGATGACTACCAACCTTCCTGGGTCTTTGTGATGGCTGACTGAGGTAATCCATGCAAAGCACGTAGGGTGCCCCTGATGCAGCAGGTACTTAATAAGTAGCAGCTAGAATTACTGTCAACCAGTTAAAGCACCCTCTCTAAGGGAGCCCTCCCCCTGGGGAATACCAAGCTGTGAGATGGAGGACATATACATCTGCCGAAATTTTGGTGGTTCCAACCATGGCTCCCCCACCCGATAGCCTGCCATCTCCCCAAGATACAGAGATAATTTTGGTTTAGGCAACATGCTCCCACAAGTGTTCACAGACTGCGCTCAACAGCCACAGAACTGTGCGAAGCAGGGCAGTAAAACACATCCATCCTCCCCTCACACCATCAGCTCAAGCAAAGCACAATTCCAGCGCTAAAGCTCTTTGCTTGGCATTTTTCTCTCCTATTCAAAAAAGCACAGCAGGTAGCAATTCACCACAATGTACACGTTAAGTATCTTAGGATTTTATTGTCAAGTATACCTCAATCAAACTGAAATTTTTAAAAAGCACATCAGCATGAAGGTGAGTGGCAGAAGTGTTAATGCCGTTACTGCAATAACTCCAAAAAATCATTTTACCGTATTTCTTGTAAAGCAAATTGTTGACAAGCTTCAGAATGTCATTACTGGTATAGTGAGATGTGAGGTTTACACCACCCAAAAGGTTGAAAGTCAGCACATAATTAAAAATTCCACCCTAGCCAGTTTTGCTCTGTGGTTAGAGCGTAGGCCCTCGGACTGAAGGGTCGCGGGTTTGATTCCAGTCAAGGGCACATCCCAATCAATGTGTCTGTCTCACATTGATGTTTTTCTCTCTCTCTCTCCCCCTCCCTTCACTCTTTCTAACAATCAATGGGGAAAAATATCCTTGGGTAAGGATTAACAAAAGTTCCATGTAGCCAAAATTTCCCTTCAAAAATATCTTAAGCCATCCAAAAATATGACAAGTGTTTATCTTGAAACACAAAACTCATACTCAATGGCTCAGGAAGCTCACAATATACAGGCATAAAGAAATGATGACACACAAAGTTGGATAAAGTGCCCCCTCTCTCTACCTCTTCCCACTACACTGTTTGGCTATATTATTGTCAAATCACAATCTAATCAATTAAATGAGTATATGTAAATGAGTAATTCCACCACCATAAATTACTGCTATGCACCCCTCAACAGACACAAGCTGAGAATTTAGTCCCAGGGAAGGCTAGGACGGAACTGCTCCTCCGGCTCCCCATGCCCTTGACCCCCAATTTGGGGAAAACAGTAAAAGGTGTCCACTTACTTGCTGCCTGGATGCGAGCCTTCCGGCTAACCACCAGCCCAAAGCGGTTCTGAGCCACACACTCATAGTCGCCCTCATCTGAAGGGCCGTCTCCTTGATCCGGCTGGAAGTGCCGGATCACCAAGGACCCATTGGCCAGCACGGTGGGGTGAGGACCCTCCGGCAGCTCCACCCCATTCTTCCTCCAGGTGATTCGCACTGGAGGGGTCCCTTCCACCCTGCAGCCCAGCACCACAGGCTGCCCAGGGACTGCAACCTCATCGCTTGGCTCCACAGCAAAGGCCAGTTCGGCAGAGTGGTCAAGACCTGCATGGGGCAGGGGAGATGAGAGGAAAAGAAGAGATCAGTGTGGAATGAGCAGAGAGAGAGAACTCCACACACACACACACACACACACACACACACACACACGTTCTAAGTTCTCTGGATCTGTGCATTTCATCCCCATCTTTCTGTAATGTTCATAGGAATCTCTAGTAATACGTAGGACTTTGTGCATTATGAAGTGTCATCTCATGCTGTAACTTAATCCACACACAATCTCAGAAAGATAGACCTTATTTATTCTATTTCCTCTTTTACAAGGAAGCGGACACCAAGAGATATTAAGTAACTTGTCCAGGGTCTCGCAGTTACTAGTTGCAAATTTATTAACTGCAAGATTGGTTCCAACACAGCTGCAGCCACTTCTGTGGTCAGCATGTTTAAGCACGAAGCTTTACAGACTTCCACAGAGTATGACCGAAGGTAAAGTATTCAGCCAGGGCTTCCTGTTCTTCATCTGTTTACATCAGGAGCAACAACAATTCCACTTGAGTTATAAGGTTACCAAATATGATTAGAAGACGTAAAGGTACTCTGAAAAGTTAAAAGTTCTAGACACAGCCCTAGCCCGTTTGGCTCAGTGAATAGAGGGTTGGCTTTCGGACCAAAGGGTGCCAGGTTCGATTCCGGTCAAGGGCACATGCCCCAGTTGTGAACTCGGTCCAGGGTGCAGGAGACAGCCAATCAATGATTCCCTCTCATAACTGATGTTTCTCTCTCTCCCCCTCCTCTCTGCAATAAATAAAAATATATTTAAAAAATTCTAGACATTTATAAAGTGAGAGAAATAAAACAGTGCTTCTTTTTGCTGGCAAAACCATCTGAGGTCTGATGGGTGCCTGGCAGGGAGCAGGATGTGTGGGCCCAGAACTTAGAATGCACTGGGGATTGTTTTTTGTTGTTGGTTTGGTTTGGGTGGTTGTGTTTTTGTCATAAGGAGAGAAGAGGAGCACCAAATGCCAAGTCAGATTTCCCAAAATTCTGGAAAGAGAAGGTTCCTAGAACCTTTAGTCCAGCAACAGATCCACTCCCGCAGAGAAGAGGAGAGCTGGGAGCCGAGGGGAAGGGGTGTGGAGGAAGAGGACTGGGGAATCAGGAAAAGCCTTCAAGGAAAGACAAGCGCTCCAATCCCAGGCGCGATGCCAAGACGCCAGCTTCTCCAACACGCAACTCACCAGGCCAGTTACAACTTCCCTCCAGGAGATAAGGACCCGCCTACGCTGAGAGGGCAGCCACAGACCCCTCCTCACATCTCCGGAAAACTAGCGACCCCAGAGCTGCCCCTCCCCAACAGACCAGCGTCCGCCCGGCTGGGGGAGATGGGGGAGTGGGAGGAGAAAAAGGAGGGGGGCTGGGGGTATGGACGGTCCCCCCACCCTCAGGGATATGTAATCTTTTAAGACGTTTGAAGATCATACCTCTTCAAACCGCTACCCAGGACCTGCAGTCCCCAACCCAACCTCGGCATAGCAGCGGGGGATAAAGTTTCTCCTGGGGGCGCACGCGACAGCCAACTTCTCCGAGCTGAGCGGAGAGAACACGCCCAGGTGCCCAGAGGGGTGTCTGCTGAGAACTTGGGGTAGGAGAGGAAAGGACTAGATTTGCACCCATTACAGCCACTGGGAGAACCGGGTGGTGAGACGGACTCTGGGCAGCAGAACCGGACCCGGAGCCCGGGGCCGGGGCGGCTGGGCGAGCGCACACCCCGGGGAAGGCGGGCACGTGGGCACCCGCGCTGGCTCGCTCGCTCGCTCCGGGTCGGCTCCTCTCCCGCTTCCTCCGCTCGCCGGGTGCCTCTCCAGCCTCCCCATCCCCACGCGCGGCCGCCGGGAGCCTTCCCCCGTCTCCCCCTCCGTCTCTCCCGCGCCCCCCGCGCCCCGGTCCCACCTCCAAACCCAAGACGCGCCTTTCCGCCCGGGGCAGCCCGCCGGCTCCCAGCCTCCGCCCACCCTAGCCCCCAGCTCCGCTGCCCCAGCCCCGCCCGCCGGGCTCCGGCCACCCCAGCTACCCTCTCGGAGGGACTCAGTCTGCGGGTCCCCCCTGGCTGGTTCCCCCGGCTCCCCAACTCCAGTCCGCCCGCCTGGAGCTCACGTTTTGCCGCACGCCTTTACCCCTCGGCCCGGGTTCGGGTGCTGCCCCGAGTCCTGGAGCCGCTTCGGACTCAGCCGGGGCTCGGTCCCCAGCATCCCCCGGCCGCCCCAGCCGCCCGGCCTCGGCGCCCTCTACACCCCCCACCCCCCCGCCGGCTCCACCCCGGCCGGCCCGGCTCCCCTTCCCCGGCGAGCCGCTCCCGCCCGAGTCCTCCCGCAGGTCCTCCCGCGGGTCCGCGCGCTCTCCCGGTCCGCCCTGCCGCCCGCTCACTCCCTTCCGCCCCTTCCCGGCGGCGGGCGCCCACTCACCGCCGCTGGGCGCGGGCAGCAGCAGCAGCAGCAGCAGCGGCGGCGGGAGCGGCGGGAGCCGGGGCCGGGGCCGGGGCCGGGGCCGGCGCGGGGGCGCGGCGCGCGGAGCGGCCATGGGGCTCGCGGTCCGTTCGACTCCGCGGCGCGCGCGGCTCCGGGGCCTCTGGCGGCTCACAGCGCCCCGCGGGGCCGGCGCCGGGGCCCGGCCCGGAGCAGCACCGGCCGGGGCCGAGCCCGGGCGGCGGGGCGCGGGGGCCGCATGCCCGCCTAGGCGCGCCGGGGGCGCAGGGGGAGCGCCGCTTGCGCCATCTTGCACCCTCCGCGGCGATCTGTCAGCCTCGCCCGAGGTGCGCGCTCCTCCGCACTCGCCGCCGCCGAGCCCGCCCCGCCCTCCTCCCCCGCCCGCCGCCGGCCGCCCCCCTGCCCGGCCCTGCGGTCCCCTCCCCCCGGCCCCTCTCCCCGGAGGCCCGGGCTGGGGAACAAAAGAGCCGGCGAGCGCTGTGCGCGGCCGGACATTCCGGGGCCGGGCGGACGCGCCCCTGAGCTTTGAACTGCGGCTGGAGCGGCCGGCGCCGTCCCGCACCGCGGCCCCCGCGCCCCCGCCCCGTGGGCCAGCCCCGACTTGGGGGGACCGGGAAAAGGGGGACCCGGCGGGCTGTGGGGTGGGTCCGGGCTGCGGAGAAACGCGCGAAGATGCGGGGTCTGCTCGGACCATCTCTTTCATCTGCGCGCCCTCCTCCGCCGTGTCCAAGTCTATATTCTCGAGATAATCCCCCTCCGAACGGCATAAAGTTGTCAAAGATTCCGTTTTCCGTGCGTTTCTGGGACTTCCACCCAAAGGCGGGGACGTGGAGCTGCAAGATGGGCCTCTCTAGACTGAAGCGGGAGTCCCTTGCGTGGACGGGAGATGGAGGGGTGGGGAGCCGCCTCCAGGGCGGGGAGAGCCGACCCTGCAGGACAATGAGGACGCTAAGGTACCCCAGTCACCCGGCTCCCCGCCGCAGTTCCCCGAGCTGTGGAGCCCAGCCAAGCCCGGCAGTCACTCTCTGAGTTCCCCTGAAAAATAAAGATCATCATCTCTCTCCTACCCACCCCTAGAGACCTTTAAACCACCCAGGCCCTGACCTGGGTACTGGAAAAGCAAACCACAGGTTAAAATTCCCAGGAACATTTCCAAAGCCTAAAGAAGTCGCAGTGTTTCGCATCAGAGAATAAGGAGACAACCTAGGTCCCCTGTGAAAATGACAACTCCTAGGAGTTACATGGACATCTAGCCCTCAGAGATCTTGCATCTTCATCACTCACTATTATCTGATCTGTTGAGTCCAGCATGATGGGCTAGTCCAGAGGTCGGCAAACTGTGGCTCGCGAGCCACATGCGGCTCTTTGGCCCCTTGATTGTGGCTCTTCCACAAAATACTATGGCCTGGACGAGTCTATTTTGAAGAAGTGGAGTTAGAAGAAGTTTAAAAATTTTGGCTCTCAAAAGAAATTCCAATCCTTGTACTGTTGATATTTGGCTCTGTTGACTAATGAGTTTGCCGACCACTGGGCTAGTCCAACTGAAATTATTGAGCACCGCCTGGCTGGTGTGTCTGGGTGGTTGAGTATCAACCCATGAACCAGGAGGATGCCGCTCAGGGTGCATGCCCAGATTTCAGGCTCAATCCCCAGTAAGAGGCATGCAGAAGGCAGCCTCTCATTAATGTTTCTATTTATCCCCCACCCTCTCTAAAATCAATAAAAAATATATAAAATTATTGAGCACCTACATAGGTCTAGGAGCAGGAGATTTAAAGGGAGTAGCCTCTGCCTCACTCAGCTATTTGCTCCTGGCATTGGACTGGGATGGCAGAGGAATAACCAAGTCTCTCTTTTGGTACCAACTCTGGGATCTTGGGATCAGGAATGTTACCCACCTATAAAACCTTGGTGCAGATGAGTAAAGAAGTGTTTGCTACCGAAACCGGTTTGGCTCAATAGATAGTCAGCCTGCAGACTGAAAGGTCCCAGGTTGGATTCTGGTCAAGGGTGTGTACCTTGGTTGTGGGCACATCCCCAGTAGGGGGTGTGCAGGAGGCAGCTGATCGATGTTTCTCTCTCATCGATGTTTCTAGCTTTCTATCCCTCTACCTTCCTCTCTGTAAAAAAAAAAAAAAAAAAAAAAAAATCAATTAAAAAAATATTATAAATATATAAAAGTGTTGGCCTCCAGAAACCTGACAAGCTTATTGATGATGGGGTGTGTGCGGCCCAGAATTCCTCACTCTGAGAGGCAAGCACTTGAGGCATGGGAACAGTGGGAGGCAGTGGAGAAATTCAGGGTCAGGGGACAGCAGCACACCAAAGCCCCAAGTGATTTTAGTAAGGAAGAGCAGGAATGGTGGACCTTATTGGCCATAGAAAAGGGAGGGAAAGAGGGTGGGGGGGGGGGGGCCGCGCACCTTGGGCCCAAAGTCCTGGCAGTCCCTCCCACAGGGCTCTGAATTCTCAGCAAACCCTTCTTGGCTTGTCCTGAACTCAGAGGGGTCAAATTGGTGTCCTGAGCTGCTGTCATTTTAAATTCATCTTGACAAGTGTTTAATTCTTCTTTATCACAACCCTGGTCTAGGAGTGATATGCAAATAATGGCTATTCTGCCACATGTAAAATGTGCAGTATCTCTCCATATGATCTGTCAATTAACTTGCCACTGGCCCACCAGCCGCTTTGGGGGTGGTCCTGGGCAGGTTAGCCTCTGGCTTTTGGTTCCCTCCATGAGAAAAGCATGCATGCAGCCCTGGGCAGGTAGCTCAGTAGTAGGTTGGAGTGTTGTCCCAAGATACCAAGGTTTCAGGTTTGATCCCCGCCAGGGCACATGCAAAAATCAACCAATGAAAGCATAAATAAGTGGAACAACAAATTGATGCTTCCCATCTCTCTCTCTCTCTCAAATCAATAAAAATTAAAAGAAAGAGCCCTAACCGGTTTGGCTGAGTGGATGGAGCATTGGCCTGTGGATTGAAGGGTCCCGGGGTCAATTCTGGTCAAGGGCATGTACCTTAGGTTCAGGCACATTTCCAGTGGAGGATGTGCAGGAGGCAGCTGATCGATGTTTCTCTCTCATTGGTGTTTCTAACTATCTCTTTCCCTTTCTCTCTGTAAAAAATCAATAAAATATATATTTTTTAAAAAATTAAAAGAAAGGCATGCATGTTCCAGGCTCTGTAAAGATCTTAGCAGAGAATCTGCCAATCATGATCCTGAGAGGAGTGTGGGTGTGAGGGAGAAATTTGGTGTGTGACTGTGTGCCCATATTGGACTTAATGGACACAAAGGTATTTGTGAAGATCAGTATGCACATGTGAAGCTCTGAGCTTGCCTAAATGTGTGAATGTGCAGCCATGAGCCTTTTGGAGACCAGAGTTAATCAAAGTACAATTGTGGAGCCCCAAATCTCTGGAGTTGTTTATTCACTCTTCTCTTCCACCCAAGAAAGTTAAAAAAAAAAAAAAAAAAAAAGGTGTACAGAAGGAACAAGATCCCCAGAGAGCCTCAAAGAATGCCATCAATGAACATATCTTTCCTAAGTTTAAGTCTTTTTCGTAAGTGCCTGCTGAGGGAGGAAGACGGTTCAGTTCTTTCTCACGACCACCTGCTCTCTGCCCTCAAACACCAACCCTTCCCATCTGATAAGAAATGCATTCTCCCTGCAGAAAGGCTGAGGAAATTCTAGACATTGGTTCCAACAGAGAACCCCACATTTTTGGAAAATAGTTTATTAATTCATTATAAGGACAGATACATGATCAATGCCTTGGCTTACCACTAAAAAAATGTCTTATTTGTAAAGAGAAAAAAACAATGCTGGAAAAATAATTAAATAACATAGCATAAACTAAATACAAACAAATAAATGAGCAGGTATGATTACACTGTCATGCATCAAAAAAAAAAAAAAAAAAGGTTTTAAAATGAGACTCAAAAACATAAGGCATCAATGGTAGGTGACCAAGGGATTAATACCCTGTAAAAGGCCAATAGACTCTTTTCTAATAAAAACACAAACTACTACAAAGACACAAACCTAACACTTCCAAATCACCCAGAGTCCAAAATCATATATAATACTAGTGAGTAATGGCCACTTTCTTATCAACTGTGAGTTATAGGCAGATACCAGATTTATTACTTATTTGCTTTTGAGAAACAATTTTCCACCCAACCTAATGGGTTATAAATTGTCTCATTTGCAGCTATTTAATTTAAACCAGAACCTCAGTGCCTGTTAAACAAGAACATGAAAAATGACTATGTAGTGTAATGCTAAGAGCCTACTGTTAAAACAGCCATTTAATTCAGGACAGTTTTTTTTTTTTTCCTTTAGAAAAAAAAAAAAAATCAAACCAGCAAAATAAAATGAGGCTTTTGACCTTCAGAGCAAATGATGAAACATATAGAGTGGTGTTAGCCACAGCAACGCTGAATGCCACAGAAATAGTACAAGTGGCACTTCTGTCCTTAACAAGATACAAAGCCAACATCAATAATCTTTAGTGTTATCATAGGCTGGCTGAAGGAGGGGGAAGGGAAGGAAATGTAGGTGCGATGTCAAACGTGAGTGACACTCGAGTGTAATAAACACAGATGCTGAAAGGATCTGAGAAGCTGCATTTACCATTAAAAAAAAGGGGGGGTGGAGGGGGGTGGAGATAGACGGGTTATTTCTAATTTAGCCCAGAAGCCACAGTTAACCCTTGGTGTGCCAATCAGTTAAAAAAGAAGAAAGAAAGAAAGAAAGAAAGAAAGAAAGAAAGAAAGAAAGAAAGAAAGAAAGAAAGAAAGAAAGAAAGAAAGAAAGAAAGAAGCACTTAGGGAGAAAAGACCCTACATTTCACACTCCTATGAGAGGCTGAGGTGCAAAAATCAAATAAATCGCATTGTCTTCTCTACACGGGAAATAGAAGTCAAGCTTGCCCTTGTGTGGCAGGTCAATTGAAAATGACTTCAGGATTGAATTCAAAACAAAGCAAAATGAGCCACTTGCCCTTGTCCTGTGCAAAGACCTCCCTTCCTGCACCCAGAGGAATGAGCTTTCTCTCACTCCTACCCCATCAGCTCATGTTCAAGGCGCTCAGGAATGAGAGATTTCTCTCACTCCTACCCCATCAGCTCATGTTCAAGGCGCTCAGAGTGGGACGCTGAGGGCTGCAGAGCCCCCAATTCCCACTCCCCTCCCCCTTCAGCTTTAGCTGGGAAGGAATGTCCCAAACCCCCTCCATCCACAAGCCTGCCTCCTGCACAGAAAGGAGGAAGGAATTTTATCCTGAGCCTCTGGGTTGCGTTTCTGTTTTTCCCCCATCTCCAAAGTCCCCTTGTGTGACTTGGATGCATCACTTCCAAGGAGGCCCCTCCCATCGCAATCCCAGGGGGAAGAGAGACGAGGGAAGCTGCACGGGGAGGGCAGTCTGCCTGGGGCGGAGGCAGACAAAGGCACAGGAAGAAGAGGGGGCAGGAGGGAACCCCGTAAAATGAAGGGGCAGGAGTCACGCTATGGCCTCGAAGGAGACATGAGGTAGTCATGTTGTTAAGGGAAGGAAGGCGGGAGGTCACATGACACAGTCTATGAGAGGCGTGAGAGACAGGAGGGGCAGGCAGAAAGAGGAGAGCCAGACCCAGCGGAGAGGAAGGGAGGGCGCGAAGGGCACCAGAATGGGGAGAGCAAGCTGGCTGGGGAGAGGCCTCGGGAGTAGTGAGAGGAAAGGAAGGAGGGGAGAGCAAGAGAAAGCAGATGTTCAAAACCAGGCACTTCCCAGATCACAAAATCAAACGCAGCGCTGCTCTGAGGGACCGGATGACCCTCTCAGTTTGGGCAACGGGAGGCAGCAATGGAACCAAAACGCCAGGCTTCAGGGCCACTCTAACTCAGCCCAGCCCGACAGGAAAGGGCCGGGGCTGTCTTGTCAGACAGGGCGCTGGAAACACTCTCAGAGTGTGTGATAAAGGCTGGGTGACGGAGGTGGGGGACCCACAGGGCTGGGCACTGACCATTCTGGGGCACAGTCCTGACCTGGAGGGCCAATGAGGCTGTAGTAACCGCTGCCTGGACCAAGCTCACCAACCAGCTCACATATGTGCCTCACGGACAGCCATGCCTCACCTGTCTCTCACCTACCACACATGTCACAGGGTATGGAGGGAGTGAATAAGCCATTTCTTCCTCTCCCTCTAGCCAGAACCCTCTAGGGGGCTCCGCATGGCTTGATGGCGTTCAGTATCCGCAGGTACACGGGTGTCATATTCCACTATCCACGACAGCCTGTCCCAAACTGCACCTCTCGGGGAGCTAAGCCAAGGAGGAGACGGAGGCCCTGGACAGGCCTGGGCTGGCTCCTCGCGGGCAGGGGGCCTTGGACTGGCAGCTGTTCCCAGAGGCCTCCTCCGGAGCCTCCCTGGGCTGGAGGTCCAGGTAGGGGCAAGAAGGGGCCTCCGGCAGGCGGGTGAGTCTGTCTGGCCCGGGGGCCGCCGGTTCACAGCCTCCCAGCTCCCTGTCCCGCCAGTCTCCCCCTTGCCCTGAGTCCACAACCCCCAAGGTGAGGTCGGGAGCCTCCGAAGGCAGGAAGTCCTCGGGCTCCAGGTCTTGGAGGTGGAGGTCAGGGTTCCCCCTGGAGGCACTGAAGTCAGAGTGAACAATAACGTCCGCCTCCACCTGGTTCCTGCAGGCCGGGGGCGGCTTCTTCCTCCCGGTGCCCTGGTCAGAGCAGAGAACACACAGACGGTGACCGTCCCTGAGAGTGGCCATGGGAAGAACGGCCAACATATCTGGGGGGTGGAGAGGGACTGACACCCCTCTCCCCAGCGACCCAGAGCGTATCTCCCACGGGGGCTGGTAAAGGAGTCACGCTGACTCCCCTACAAGAGGTGGCGGCCCGTGGGAAGGCAGGGGGAAACGGAATCCTGCCCTTCGCCCTTGCCCAGGAGTTCCAGAAGTATGGTGTCCGTCAGGCGTCAGGACTAGGAGGAGGGGCTGAAGGCGCTCAGGCCCACGGAAACTCCGCTGAGGCCTGCTTAGGTCTACGCGGAGGAGGGATTGTCCCCAGCTCAGGTGAGACACAGAACTCCTGCAAAGCAGCGGCCTCTACCCACTCACCTGTAGGCTCCAGGGGTCTCCCGGCTAGACTTCTATCCCCAGGGAGAGTACCCTCAGGGATCTCCCGAGAGCTCACTACTTGCTCTCCAGCAGCATGGGGGCCCCTCTCTCCTCTTCCTGCCCCTTTCTCCCGGGAACTGACCTTTATGGCATCATACACCAGAGCCTGCAGAAACAGCGTCTGTCCAGTTCCAGCAGGGGGCAGCAGGGCCCGGGTCAGGTAAGGCACAGGGCCTGCCTGGGGCAACTCGCAGCCTGCCCAGGAACCTGCCCAGCTGGGCCCACCTGGCTGGGCCCAGGAGATCTGCGTGGGGAGAGAAGCCGGAGCACAGGCTGGGAGAGCGAAGGGGATGGAGCCCCGCCGTGGTCCTGACACCCTTCTCCTCCCTCGCCAGGGCTGTGGGGAGGAGCGCAGAGTAGCTGAGCGTCTGGGGGAACTGAGGAAGAAGTCCGCCTGCAGAAAAGCCCACTGCCATTGTTTTGGCAGAGCCCGGAGGTTTCCCAGCCAGGCAGGCTCTCCCTCAGCAGAGAGACTGGGAAGAGGTGCGGAAGGATTAAGGGCTTTGGGCAGGCTGGTCAGAGAAGGTGGGATGAGCCCCCACTGCCAGCACGGCGGGAGCCTGTCTCCCCCCCCCCCCCCCCCGTGGCCCACCTTATCCAGGTCCCAGTTCCACTTGGCTACAGCCAAGCTGATCCTCCTCTTCCCCCTTATTGGAGAGGCTGGATCTCAGAGGTTTCCCCAGCTCCTGGGATGAGGGGTCTGGGGGCTCTGGAAACCCTGAGTCAAACAGCCCATGGGGGGGGGGCGGGGGCAGGTCCTCTCCTCTTTCCATGAGAGCAGACTGACCTCTTCTGCCTGGCCCATCTGCTTCCCAGCCCTGCCAACCTCTCCATGGCGGGGATGGGGGGTAGGGGGTAGGGGGTGTGGGGGGGAGCGGGCGGGGGGGGGGAGGATGGGAGGGTGGGAGGGGGGGGGGAGGCAGGGCCTTTTCTCCTGCTGCTGGCCCAGAGGAAGGGGTGGGGTGCAGGTTCTCCCACCGGGCTACCCGTTGTGCTCTTGCGCCCCCTGGTGACCTATTTGGGAGTGCGCCCCAGGATGGGACTAACCTGCCTGGGCTCCAGGCTCACCTTCCTCTTGGAGTGACCCCGGCTGCCGTCGGAAGCTCCGCCACCCATAAGGCTGTGCACTTCAGCCCTGTCCTCGATGTCTGAGGGTGGTGGGGCCCAGTCCTGGGGACGGGGGTGCACAAGGGACTCCAGTTCGTGGGTAGCTGGGGGGTTGGGGGGTCCAAGGCGGGCTCGGGAGTACAGCGCGGGGTTCCCAGCAGCGGCCGTGGAGGACAGGCCTGGGAGGGCTTCCCTGGAAGGGAAGACCGGCACAGAGGTCAGAGAGGGAGAGGTGAGAGCGGGGTGGGGCACTAGTCCAGCTTATGTCCCTGGGCGGGCTCCTGTCCATCCCTAGGACTTGGTTTCCGGTCTGTGCAATGAGTCAAAACACTGTGCTCGAAACAGCTGTGACGCTGCAAATGGGACCCTTCCTCCCGTGGCTCCAGGCGCCTGGAGACCTGGACACCCTCCTTCCAGGATGCTGGCAGCTACGAGGAAACGGGAGACAGACAGCTCTGCCCATGCAGGCCCTTGGGGAGGGGGCTCTCCTAAAGGCAGCCCCGACTCTCATGAGAACATTGCCCCTAATGTTCCAGAGAGCCGACGTTAACGGGGATTCTGGGGGTGCCTAGGGCAAGCCATGGCCCCTTTCCCGGCTCTTTCAGCTTTGCAGCCCTTCTGGAGACTGCTCTCCACGGTCAGACGCTCCTTCGCCCACCTGTGGGGGCCGCGGCGCAGGCCCGCACACATGCAGGCCAGCAGGCAGAGGAGGCCCAGGCAGACGCCCACGATGATGCCCGTGACGGAGTGCACGTCCAAGGAGTCTGGTTGGGGAAAGAGAGGGGACAGGACAGGTCACGGCCCGGAGAAGGCCCCGGGTTCCTAGGTCAGGACTGCTGTCAGTGGTGTCCTCGAGGGACCACTGGCTTGAACAAAATCTCCTTTTGCAAGGACAGGAGGGGCCCACAGCCTCACAGAGACCACAGCGACGTCTCCCTTCCACTGTCCTCCCCACTGGACATCTCAAAGCTGTGGTCCCTCCCCATCTGCCTGCCTGCCTGACGCCTGGGGCCGGTTTCGGGGGTGCAGGAAGTGCAGTGGCACAGCCCATGCATAGAAGGGCTCTGTGCTGCCAAAACCGGTTTGGCTCAGAGGATAGAGCCTCGGTCTGAGGAATGAAGGGTCCCAGGTTCGATTACGGTCAAGGGCATGTACCTTGGTTGCAGACACATCCCTAGTAGGGGGTGTGCAGGAGGCAGCTGGACGATGTTTCTCTCTCATCGATGTTTCTAGCTCTCTTTCCCTCTCCCTTTCTATCGGTAAAAAATCAATAAAATATATTTTAAAAAGAAAAGGAAAATAGAAGGGCTCTGTGCTTGGTTTAACGCTGTGTTGTCACCATCTTGAAATTCTTCCTACTTTTAAAATAAATAAATAAATAAATAAAGCACACCCTCATTTTCATTTCACATTGGGCCTACCGATTACATAACCACTCCTGCTGTCCCCCAAAAGCCCCCTAAAGCTCATCACCTCTCCAAGCCAGCCCTCTAATCCAAGCAATCTCCCCCAAATCTGACCTCTAACCGAATCACCACTGGACTAACCCACACCCATTTCCCCTTCACATCTGTCCTCTCTGCACCTAACTAGGAGGGCACTGTTTGGAGGCAGGGCCTTGGAAGGGATGGCATTAGGGTTAGAGGTCAGCTCCAGGGGTCCCTGGGGACCTCGGCTGCCCCAGGGTGGACCCACCCTCCCTTCCTGCCCTCTCACCTGCGAGCTTCTCCTGGAGAGTGATCACGTCCTGCAGGCTGGAGAAGGGCCCAGGCCCCACCTCCGTGCGGGCCCCCATCTTGAAGAAGTACCTGGTGTCGCTCTCCAGGCCACGCACCTCGGCACTGAAGGTGTTTCCTGGAGGAGAGGGAAGCAGGGAGCGCGGGGCTCTGGGTTGGGTGGGGGTGGATGCAGGGATAGGCTGGACGCTGGACTGTGAGAAAGTTTGCTCCTCCCACTCCGGAGTGGCGTCTGCCCGTTCCTTTTAGAACCCCAGGGCCCAGTGGCACTTTGGAGAGGCCGGGAAAGGAGGGGGGGCGGGTGGGGAAGCCCTGGCTCCAATGCCCCTGGGCGGGAGCCCTCACCCTCCGTGGTGAGCAGGGTCCACTGGTGCTCGGGCTGGGTGTGGTTGCTGCTGTACAGGATCAGGTACTCCACGATCTCCCCGTTGGGCTCCGTGGGGGGGCACCAGTGCAGCAGGACGGTGGACGGCGTCAGGGAGCTCAGGCGCAGGTCCGAAGGCGGCGTGGAGGGCCCTGGGGTGCAGAGGAGGAGAAGGGGAGAGGCGGGGTCACTGGGAGCCCCAGCCCAGGGGCAGACGTGAGACAGGGCGTGAGGTCATGGCCTTTCTTCTTCCTCCTTCGCTGGAACAAACCACAGACCACAGAGCAACGTGAGGTCTGGTCTCCAACGGGGAAATTTCTGGAAAACGTTGGGGAAGGGGGCGTCACCACCACGCCTCCCCTCCCTGCAACTCCTCTCCACTCCTTGGAGCAGAGCTCCCTAAACCTCCGCACCCCAGTATTGCCAAGGTGGAGGAGACTGTCTGGTGTTCCAGGGACCTGGGGGAAGACAGAGCTCAAACATTTTTGGAAGGCTTACATTTTACTTTAAACGGTCACACTAAATTTGCCATCTATTCCATGGCAAAATCTAATATAAAAATAGTGTCTAAAATTATCACTTCAAGTTCCTAATGCCCCTTGCCACCCCAAACCTTTAAGTAAAATTGGCTGATGCTCTGCATAGCCAGTGTCCGTGCCCCCAGGTCCTACAGTGATGGGCACTACCCCGAATGCGAGAAGTACAGCTTTGGCAGGCTTTGTGTTTGTTTGTTTGTTTGTTGTTTTTGGAGAAGAAGCTGATCCTGGGAGGTGGCGGTGAATGAAAAGGATGAGAAGGAGGGACACAGGGTGGCTATCGAGTTGGGAAGGACAGAGATTCGGGAGTTCAGGTCTGCAAGGCCTGACAGAGGGTGGGATGGGGATCCAGGATGCTAAGGTGTAACAGGGCCACCTCTTTGGCCCTAGGTGACTCTCCACATCTCAGGCTCCAGTGTTGCCACTTGAAGGAGAAGCCATCCCCCTCTATAGCCTGGACACTTATGCTGGGGATCCACAGTCATAAAGTCAGCTTCAAGGAAACAGTGGGCCAGGCCGGTGTGTCTCAGTGGTTGAGCATAGACCCACGCACCTGGTCACTGTATTGTCAGGGCCCATGCCCAGGTTTCAGGCCCAATCCCCAGCAGGAGGCAGCAGGGGGCATGCAGGACAGCCCAATCGATCATGTTGATGTTTCTCTCTCATAAATGTTTCTCTCTCTCCCTCTACCTTCTCTCTCTGAGATAAATAAAAACATATCTTAAAAAAAAAAAAACAGAAAAAAAAAACCATTGGGTCTCCCTAAATTCTGTATGAAACTTAAGACCATAATAACTGAGGTTATAGGAGGGTGAGAAACAATTTGTAAGCAGTTTTTTGAAAAGGAAATTCATGAGACCAGAGGGCCTTCACACCCCACCCCACACACATCTTCCTGTTTCAGGTCCGGGACAAAGGTCTCTGTAGACGGGAAGGCGAACAGTTTTAGGGCCAATAGAACAGAAGAGCTTCCCGCTGTGAGAACAAAAGTCCTTTTGTTTTGTCTTCAAATGCCATTTCCAGAGAGTTCAAGAGTCACAAACTTGCAGAGCAAATGGTCCCATCTTCTCTCTCTTTTTAAAATATGTTTTTATTGATTTCAGAGAGGAAGGGAGAGGACGAGAGAGTTAGAAACATCAATGATGACAGAGAATCATGCCCCCCACTGGGGATCAAGCCTGCAACCGGGCATGCACCTCTCCTGGGAATCGAATGGCAACCCCCTGGTTCATAGGTTGATGCTCAAGCACTGAGCCACGCCAGCCAGGCCCACCCTCTATTTTTTACAAACGAGGACACAGAGGCCCTGGTGGGGAAGGAACCTGCCCAATTCTCCCAGTGTGTCAGAGGCAGGATGGGACACCGCCTCCCCCGTTTCCCCGGGCCCTCTTCACCAGCTCAGTGGGTCTTGGCACAGACTCTTAAAAGAAGCCACTCCTCCAAAGCTGGTGTTTTACTTTTATGGGTAAATGGGTAAGGCCAGCACAGTTCTGGCCTGTGTGAATGCCAGCAAACGACACATCCTTTCGGGGTTCTGAGGAATCGTTCGGAAAGGGGGGCTTCTGGGCAAGGAGTTGGATAAACGGTGGGTTGGTGGTTAACCGGGCTGAGGGCCACTCACGGTCTGGCAGGGTGGAGCGCTCTACCACGGAGCCGAAAGGCCCATCCATGTCCACGCCGTGGGACTGTACCGCAAACTCATACTTGGTGAATGGCTTCAGCCCGCCAATGAGGATGTCTTCGCCAGAGCTGCCACGGCAACACATGGGACTGGTGATCTCGGGCACGCCCTCCGAGCAGGGCGGCTCCCCAAATCTGCACCCCGACCCCCAGCCACAGCCCCAGCCCAGGCCCTACCCCGGGAGTGGGCCACTACCCCTAGCTAGAGAACCTACAGAGAGGTCTGCATGGACGCTGCTTCCAGGGTACCAGGCTCCATGTCCAATGTCCAAGCCAGGCCCCTCCTCCAGGAAACCTTCCTGGAGTAACCGCGTCCTACTTCCCCCAAGGAACCACCTGGGATGCGTCTTTTCATTGAGGTAACGTTACTTCAGCTGCAAATGTGCGCATCTATTGCTTTCCAGGCAGTTTCCTTTGCCGAACCAGCAGCTCCCGAGAGCAGGGCTCTGTCTCCCCATCTGACTGGGGGCCTTCTCAGGACAGCGGCTGTCTGTCTCTTCGCCATCCTATCGGGGGCCCTCCCTCTGAGATGGAAGAACCAGTTCTGTCTGCATCCTGTTCCCAGAGTTCAGGACCAGGCTCTGTTGTAAAGGGCTGGGATCGCACGGATTCTCCTTTCCCGCCACCAGGTCATCAGGCCCCCGTGTTCCCTCAGTGCACCAGGCAAGGCCCAAAGGCTTCTGAGTCCCCTGGGCCCTCCTCCTCCTCAGCACCCGCTGCCTTCCTCCCCGTTCCCAGGCTTGCTCCTCCTTCCCACCTGGTGTAATAGGTGACCAGGGAGGCATTCCGGAGCCCCCAGGGGCTGAAGCGGACGGTGTAGTTGACAATCTTGACGGTGGTGAAGTCTGGCTTCTTCCACCGAAGCCAAATGGACGTGGAGCTGTTGGATTCGGCGTGGACGTGAGCGGGGGGTAAGGGCGGCCCCCTCTGGATGGGCAGGTCTGGAAGGCGAGAGGTCGAGTGTGGGAAAGGAGGAAGAACAGTGAGCCTAAACATGTATGGTGCCTCACAGTCCCCGCTTAAAGTCATTCCTTCTCCCCTTCTCCTTTGATCCTGGGAATCATTCCCTCTTCACAGATGAGGAAACTGAGGCTCCTGAGAATTTAAGTGCTTTGTGTGTGGGTTTTTTTTGGCCAAGGTCATATTTATATATCAAACTGTGAAAGAGAGAGGCAGCAAATCACGGCAGTTAAGAGCATGTATTCTAGAGCCATGTTGCCCTGGTCCGAATTCCAGCTTGCCACTTACTAGCTCCGACCTTGGGGAAGTTACTTATGTAAACTCTCCATGTCTCCATTCCCGCTCTGCCAGTAGAGCTTAGAACAGTACCTACCGCACAGTAGTGTTATGAGGATTGTGAGATAATATTTGTAAAGTATGTAGAGAAGTGTTGCTTTCTGTTTTATTTGTGAGATATAAGTCACATAAAATTCAGTTTAAAAATGTACAATACAGTGGTGTTTAGTACATTCATAAGGTTGTGCAGCCACCTGCACTATCTAATTCCATAAAATTGTTATCATCCTGAAAATAAATCTTGTTTTTACCCATGCGTTCCCATTTCACCTTTCCTCCAGCCCCTGGCACCACAAATCCACTTTATCTCTCTACGGATTTGCCTCCTCTGGAGCATCTTCCCATGACAGAGGCCGTCTGGATCTCAATGAGGACCCCCGAGCCGAGGGTTTGGGGGTGGGTAAGGCGAGCAGCCAGCCTGACCACCAAGGCTGGCCCAGAGGAAAGGGGAGGGAAGTTGTGCCCGGACCCCCTGCCTGAGCCCCCCTCACCTGGTGTGGGAGCCTTCTCCGTCTTGCCCTTCCACACCGCTGCGTAGCCGTCCTCGTGTTTGTTGAATGCCACAAGCTTGACCTCGTACAGCCGGCCAGGGACTGAGGAAGGTCACGGGGTCACGCACTAGCTAGAGGAACCTGTGGGGTCTCTCCTCCCCAGAAAGGATGCCATCTCTAACTCCTGCACTCAGCTTGTGCAGTACCCCACTGTCTGGTCCCCCCTGCCCCCACCCCCAATCCTCCTCACCTAGCTGGGTCAGCTCATACTGCTTCACCTTCTTCTTGAGCCGGACAGGCCCCACGTCCCAAGCCTGGTCTCCACGGCTCCCTGGGGGGCTCTCACCGTCGGCCTCCTCCTCGGCCCCCACCTCCCGCCAGTACAGTTTGTAGCCAGAGATCTGGGCCGGGTGAGGAGGCGGCTGCCAGGATATAACCAGGGACTCCATCCTTGCCCGTACCTTCAACTCTGTAGGGGCAAAAGGGACTGGGGAGCAGGAGGAGGAGGAGGAGGAGAAAGGGGGTAGGGAATGAGGAGAAGGAGGTCAGGGATGGGAGAGGCGGAAAGAGGCAGGAGGAAGAGGCATAGAGTAAGAGCCTTGCCCACCTCCTCCCAAGGATCACCACTCAGCCACCACTCCAGGTGCCGGGCCAGGGCTGGTCTAGAGGCGAACTCTCTACCCCACAAGCCCAGAGCTGAGGATGGAGGGATGGCTCCGTGCGTGTGCTCAGAGGTGAGCAAGGAGCATCTCCGAGGCAGGCGGGCAGGATCTCTACGTTTCCTGAAGGAATGAATGCATGGATCCTGGCAACCAAGGGCTGCTGAGGCCAGCAAGGGGGTGGAGCCCTGGCATGGGGACCCCACTTGAAGCCTAAATGTGGGGGACTTGCTATGTGTTGGACGCTGCTCTAAGCACTTTTACGTATATTTCAACTTCCTTCTCACAACCCTATAAAATAACGGAAATACCATTATCCCATTTTACAAGAAAATGACGCTCAGAGAAGTAACTTGCCCAAGGTCACACAGACAGGATACGTACCAGGTTCTGACTGCATTTAATCACTCTACTATTGGGCCTTTCGACAAAACCAACCATTGTAATTACGGAAGCAGCTGCTATGGACAGCTATTGTGTACTAAATATTTTTTTGGCAGTTCATTAATTATCAGTCTCCGCTCCTCAGCTTGCAAGTACATGAAGCCTGAGAGCCGGGAATGGTTTGTAGGAGGTCACACAGCAGAAGAAGGGGCTCTGGAGGCCACATGTGCCTGCAAAGCCAGCCCTTCACCTGCACACCCATCCCCCGCCCCCCCATCAAACAGGGGGAGCCAGGGCGGGTCTCTGATGGAGGGTGGTTGGGTTTGGGTTCCCAGGTCACGCCCACACCCACACCCACACAGTCACGCACACCTCCTGGGCCTGTCCCCTTGGGCCCATACCGTGGCTCTGGTTGTGCATGCTGGGTGTCCGGTGCTGCATCCATGGGGAGGGTGCCCCGTAGCCAGCGCCGGTGCCAGCCGAGATCCGCACTCGGTACACCTTGTTGGGCAGCAGTGAGTGCAGCGTGAGCTGTGTCTCATTCCCCGGCACCTCGCTGGAGGAAATGTGATCTGCGGGGACAGAGAAGACTGGCTGCTGGGAGGCCCCTGAAGACAATGACCCCATAACTCCCCACCCACTCTCCCACCTGCGTCTGGATCCTCAGTGCCCCTCAGAGCATGGAGGCGCTCTCAGCCTTGGCCCTTCAGGGCCTGGATGGACCCCATGGCTCCAGGCCTACTCCTGGGCCTCCAGCCCTTGCTGACACTGCCGTCACCTCCAGCTCTGAGTCAGGAGAACCATGGCATGTGGTCCCCACTTCCCTCATAAGCAGTCAATAACACCCCCCGAAACCTCAACACACACACAGGGCACAAGCACCAGGGTCAGCTGTGGGAGCTACCAGGCACCACCTGCCTCTTAGAATTCTGAAACCACCCAAGTCCCTGCCTCACCCTTCCCTCCCGCTTCACCCTCACCCTGGCTCTCCAGCTACTTGCCTTCTCCTACCTTTTTACTCCTTTCAAACTCCTGCCCTAGGTTACCGACCTCTGCCCTAACACACCCTCCCGAATGCTCCATTCCCCCACCCCACAAGCACCCCCACCTCCTTATCCCTCATCTGCTCTTTGGTGGGCTGGAAGGGTCCCCAGGGATCGCCTAGACCAGTGGTCGGCAAACTGTGACTCGCGAGCCACATGCGGCTCTTTGGCCCCTTGAATGTGGCTCTTCCACAAAATACCACGTGCGGGTGCACACGTACAGTGCGATTGAAACTCCGTGGCCCATGCGCAGAAGTTGGTTTTCGGTCTGGGCGAGTCTGTTTTGAAGAAGTGGTGTTAGAACACTCAAGGGGCCAAAGGGCTGCATGTGGCTCGTGAGCCGTGGTTTGCCGACCACTGGCCTAGGCCACCTGCCCCATTTCGAAGATAAGGAAACGGAGCCAGGGATTCATTCATTCGCAGGATGACACACTGCGGCTGCGGAGGACGTGGGGCCAGAATGCAGGTCTCCCTCTGCCTTACACTAGCCCTCTTTTCATTCCTGCCACCTCTCCCCCTGGCCCACACTCCTCTTTTCTGGGCTCCCCTTGCCCGGCTCCCCGGGGCTGCCTAATTTCCTCAGACTCCAGGCCGCTCTGCTCAGGTCCTCAGTGGCTCTGACCAGCTTTCCACAGACACACAGTTCCCGGCCAGGGGGCCCCGCACCCTACCTCTGCTCACCTTCCTTTCCCAAACTGTGCTCTATCTTGTACTTCACCACCTGCCCATTGCTCAGGCTGGGAGGCAGGGGCAGCCACGCCACCCTGATGTCCGAGGGGTTGGGGCTGGACAGGGAGAGCTGGGGCGCCGCACTGGGGACTGAGACAGAAGAACATCAGCGTGAGCTCTTTCCACCGGCGGGAAGGCCAGGCCCAGGAGCAGGCAGAGACTTGCCCAGGTCACACAGCAAGCCAGAAGCAGGCCCAGGCCCGGGATCTGAGGGAGGAAAGGGAGCCTCTCAGGAGAGCCCCGAGCTGGAGAGGAGGGGACGTCCTCCCCACCCTGAAAAAGGTTTGGGGCACCATCGTTCAGTCAGTGGGTCAGAGTCACTGGTCCCTGCCTGACTGGATGGCATGTGGGGGGGGGGGAAGGGCTCAAGGGCCACATGATATAGGGAATCACAAGCTGAGATCTCAAGTCCCAAGTGTCCTCCTACGGACTCTGGGCGAGTCGCTCTCATTTTCTGGGCCTCAGTTTCCCCAACTGTACACTGGGAAATAGAACCCCTGCCCACCTTTTTCAGGGTACAAGAGATGACGCGAGGCAGGGAAGGGGCTTGTGAGTGAAGAGAAGCCAAGCTACCACCCAGGGAGTTCTCTGGACCCCAAGGTGCCCATCGCAGGTACAGAGGCCCTACCATCGTCCGGCATGTGGACCAGCGCTGGGGCGGAGGTGCGGCTGGCCCCCAGCTGGGAGTAGGCCACCACGTAGAACTCGTAATCCGTGTTGGGTTCCAGGTCCCGGACCTGCAGCTCTGTGGTGTCATTGTTCACGGCGAACTGGAATTCCACGTTGTCCACGCCTGGGGGTGACACAAGGGACAAAGGGGCTGTCATAGGGCCTGCCCGCTGGAGGCCCTCTCAGGGTCCTCTGTATTGTCCAGGCTCCGGAATAGTCTATTTGTAGGTAACTCATCCCAGATCATCTGCCCTGGAGAGTCTAAGCTCCCCTGGCTTCTAGTGCCACCGCGTTCATCCTCCCTGGTTAGGAAGTTCTCTCTGGCAGCCAGCGTTTACTAGCTGGCTCCAGGAATGTCCGGCATTTTCCCCGGGAGAGGAAGCATCCTGCCCCTTCTCTCTCATCAACTGTGACCCCGGAGTAACAGGCCCCACACACTGACCCCTAATCCAGCACCAGGCCTAACCCATACCTACCACCTACAGGGGTTCTCCCGTGGGCTCCTGCCCCATCCCATCCTAGCCCCAAAGACAGTGGGCGGGCAACCCTTCAGTCATCCAACTTGTCCCGCCTTCAGCCCCTCAACGCGTCCAGCTTTGGGGCCTCCACTGGGGTGTGTCCCCCCAGTCCATTCCACCCCCCCCCCCCCCCCCCCCCGTCTCTCCCCTCACCCGCAGACGTACCGCGAGCCTTCTGGTAGTGAAGGGAGAAGCCAATGATCTGCTCGCTGTGCAGCTCGGGCCGCTCCCAGGCCACCAGCACGGCCGAGCTGCTCAGCGGCGTGGCCGTGACGCGCGTGGGGGCGCTGGGCAGCCCCTCGCGCACCACCACGGCCAGCGGAGCCGCGGCGCACGCGGTGCCCGCGCCGTTGTGGGCCACGCACTGGTAGTAGCCGGCGTCCTGCAGGCCGATCTGCGTGATGACCAGGCTGCCGCCGCCGCCCTGCACCTTGACGCGCCCGTTGGGCCGCAGCGGCGCCCCGTCGTGCAGCCAGCGCAGCGCCGGCCGCGGCTCCCCCGCCGCGCGGCACACAAAGCGCGCGGTGCTGGCCCGGGTCCGAGACAGCGCCTCCGGCGCCTGCGAGATGACCGGGGCCGCTGGGGGCGAGGAGGGGGACGCTGACCGCGGGCTCCGGCCCCTGGGGGCTCTGCGCCCTCTCCCAAATTCTCCACCTGGCCCCGCACCGCCTCCAATCTCCCCAACCCCTCCCTGCTCCCCTTCCCCCAAATTCTCCACCTGGCCCCGCACCGCCTCCAATCTCCCCAACCCCTCCCTGCTTCCCCCTCCCCCCAAATTCTCCACCTGGCCCCGCACCGCCTCCAATCTCCCCAACCCCTCCCTGCTTCCCCCTTCCCCCAAATTTAAGGTGCAGATGGTCCAAGTGTTGGCGGGATAGTCCTGATTTCTAACAAATTTTCCCGCGTCCCGCGGCGTTTCAAAAAAGTCCCGATTTTTGGAAAGATTGGAAACATTCTTTTAAAAAATCGGGACTTTTTAAAACATTCTTACCCAAATTCTCCAGTGCAACGCAGCGCTCCCTCTTCCCCCCATTTACTCTCGTCCCGCCTAGCTTCCTCTCCCCCTGAGTCTAACCCCACTTCCTCTTTTATCAATTCCTTCTCCCCACAGGGTCCCCCACACCTGCCAGGTTTACTCTCCAGTTATCCCGTCCTGAGCAACCCCGTCCCCTTTTTCTTATCGCCTCTCAGAGTTCCCCCAGCTCTCCCAGTAACCTGTCTCCCTCCCCCAGTGCCTGAGTCCCACCCAGACCCCCTCTCCCACCCCTCCACCACCCCAGCCCCAATCACCCTCTCCTTCTTTCCCGGACCCCTCTTCCCAGTCCATCCTCCAATCTCCTCCTGCCACCTCCCCCATCCCTTCAACGATCTGGTCTGTCCCCTACAACCTCCCTTCCCCCTGCCCCCCACCCCCCTAGACCCGACATCCACCCTTCCCCCAGCCCTACCTCTCTGGCATCAGGTCTCTCAATTCTCCAAACACCCAATTGCTCCCTTCCCCCTGCCTGTTCTTCCCCTGCACCCTCCGGTCTCCCGCACCCCCCACTCCAACCTCCCCCCCCAACCCCCCCTCCGCCTCACCCAGCTTCTCTCCCCCTCCCCCCTTCCCCAGCTTTACCCCCCCAGCCTCCCCCCCAGCTTCACCCCCCCAGTCTCCCCGCCTCACCCAGCTTCACCCCCCCAGCCACCCCCCTCCCCCAGCTTCACCCCCCCAGCCTCCCCCCCCTCACCCAGCACGCGGAGCTCGGCGGCGGCCGTGGCGAAGTCGCGCGTGCGGGGCTTGTTGGCGCGGCAGACGTAGACGCCCGAGTGGCCGGGCTGCGCGCTGGCGATCAGCAGGTTGGTGCGGCCCAGCACGATGACGTCGGTGGAGATTGGCTTCCCGTCTGGGGGGCGGGGGGAGGAGAAGGGAGCGTGCTGGAGGGGTGGGTGAGGACTGCTCCTCCATCCACTCCCGGACCTCGCGGCCCCTCTGCACCCGAGTGATGAGGCCCTAACAGCGCCGGGTTGGAATCTCAGGTCTCCTGTGTGGAAGCCTAGTGACCGGCTTCGCACCTTAGTGTCCCCTCTGTGAAATAAGGAGTCAGTCCCCAGCGGGAAGGACTGCTAGGGGGCGGAGTGAATAAGGTTTGTGAGAAGCCCTGGCACCATGCAGGCACATCATAGGCGCTCAGGACACTCATCCATGACTGTTACCGTTGTTGTTAAACTTGATTTCTTACACACGCCTAAATGGAAAAAACACAAATGGCCAAGGAACACATACAAAAAGCTTTCAACTTCACATAATCAAAGAAATGCACATCAAAATGCAGATGTTCATTTCCACCTAGCATATTGGGAATGTATCTAAAGACATAAGTTGCAAAGCTTAGAAAGAGTAAATGCTGATAGGGCCATACCAGGCTCCACCTTAACCTAGGAGCCAGGGACTTCACTTAGGGGCAGGCACCTGTCCTGGGGAGATGTGAACAGGGTTAACTGTAATAGCAGACCACTGAAAAGGACTTAAATTTTAACAGTAGGAACTGGAAAATTGCATTACAGCTATATTCAAATAATGGAACATTATCCTATATAATAAAAGCCCAGTGACTGAAGGGAGGGGAGAGAACGACCAGTCGACCAGTCACTGTGATGCACACTGACCACCAGGGGGCAGAGGCTCAACACAAGAGCTGCTCCCTAGTGGTCAGTGCGCTCTAACATTGGGAGCGCCACTGGGCTGACTGGGATGAGTGGGGAGCAGCCGCTCAGAGGGCAGGTCCACAGCCGCTTGACTGACTAGGATGAGCAGTGCTCCCACAGCAGGCCAATCCCCAAAGGCCATGCCCTGCACCAGTGCACAAATCCTATGCACCAGGCTTCTAGTCTCTCTCTCTCTCTCTCTCTCTTTATATATATATATATATATATATATATATATATATATATATATATATATATATATATATATATATATATATATATTTATCTAAGTGACTGAATGACCCAATGACCAATCAGTTGCTATGACAGGCAATGACCACCAGGGGGAAGATGCTCAATGCAGGAACTGCCCCCTAGTGGTCAGTGCACTCCCACAGCCAACCTCAAACAGCTGGCCAACCACGCATGGTGCCTCCCTCCAGCCAGCCAGATTGCTGGCCAGCCTTGGGGACCCCACCGGTGCATGAATCCATGCACCAGGCCTCTAGTAGAGTCATAATTGTTTTTTGAAAAAGTTTTAAAGATGGGAAAGTGCTAATGAGATACTGTTGAATGAAAATAGGACTTGGAACTGTAAATTCAATATGCTCTCGATTACAGGGAGAAATGTACATGTGCATAGAAAAAAAATCTGGAAGAAAACACACCCATATGTTAACAGTTTTTATCTTTGAATGGTGAGATGTTTTCTGTTTCTGCTTTTCGCCAGTTTTCTACGGTGAACACATATAACGTTTGCAATAAGAAGAAAATAAAACAAAAGTCCCTTCCCTGACTTAGTGGAAAAATAACTGTGCTCAGGGTCAGGAATAAAGTCCTTTTGGGATCTTTCTCTTCCCAGCCTTTGTTATTAGCTGAGTTTCTCCAAGTGAGTTCCCAAAACTATAGTTATCAGGATCCTCTGGAGCAGCAATTCTCAAATCCTTGTTGTTACACATGAATGATGGAATTGCAGGGGACGCTACTATGCAGAGGCCTAAGGCAGGACCCAGATTTTGCATTTCTAACTAGGCCCAGGTGGTAAATCCAAAGACCACACTTTCAGTAGCAAAGACCTAGGGCACTTGATTCCTAGGTTACAACTCTCTATGTGTGCAGGGAAGGAGTCTGCAGTTTTAACAAGTTCCTGGGGTCATTCTGGTGCATGGTATTAGAGAAACGTTGATATTTGAACTTCTGGGCAACATCACAGGCTTACCCCAATAATAACCTGAGAGCCCTGCCAGCCCCGGAATCCCTCTAACTCGGCAAGTGTCACAAGTTCAATGAGGCCATGTAGGTAATGGAGGTGCAAAGATTCTGGCACTGTTCTGTCTCATTAGATCAATGGGAGAGGTACGTAGTTGTTTGGCTATTTTTCCTTATGTACTCTTTTTTTTTTACTTAAATATATTTTATTGATTTTTTTACAGAGAGGAAGGGAGAGAGAGAGAGCTAGAAACGTCGATGAGAGAGAAACATTGACCCGCTGCCTCCTGCACACCCCCCACCGGGGATGTGCCCGCAACCAACGTACATGCCCCTGACCAGAACTGAACCTGGGACCCTTCAATCCGCAGACCGATGCTCCACCACTGAGCCAAACCGGTTTCGGCTCCTTATGTACTCTTGACTGTGACATACAAACTTACAGAAAGGAGGTAGTGTAGGGTAACAGACTGAGCCGGAGAAGAAGGATAAAGAGGACTAGGTTTAAGACTACTTCTGCCATTAGCATGGGACAAGTCACTTCTTATGGACAAATGGAAACAAAAGTAATACTGGTGCCCGGCTGGTATGACTCAGTGGTTGAGTATCAACCAATGAACCAGAAGGTCCTGGTTCTATTCCCGGTCAGGGCACATGCCCATGTTATGGGCTCGATCCTCAGTGTGGGACGTGCAGGAGGCAGCTGATCAATGATTCTCTCTCATCGTTGGTGTTTCTATCTATCCCTCTCCCTTTCTCTCTGAAATCAGTAAAAATATATTTAGGAAAATAATAATAATAATACTGGCATTTCTTCCATACATGACTGTAGGGAGTGGTATAGCAGAAGGAGGACTAGCTCTACAGTGTGGGTCCTGGTTTTCCAGCTGCCTCTCAGTCTCAGCTTCTGCATCTGGCTAGTGGGAACAATAGTCCTGGCCTTTCCTCTTGTGAGAATAAACGAGTCATCTTTTCTGTCAAAGAACAGTTTAGACAGCCGCCATTTTGGACTGTGTGACTTGGAAGCCACCATGTTGGCCACATGACTTGCAGCTCCCTGGGGTCCGCCATCTTGAAATGGGAAAGGCCAACCCCTCCCTTTGAATTAGCCAATCAGGAAAGACTATGCACCTGAGCACCAATCAAGAGTGAGGGACAGGTCACCTGTGTCAGGATTAAAAAGCCAAGCAGCCGAAACCGGTTTGGCTCAGTAGATAGAGCATCAGCCTGCAAACTGAAAGGTCCCAGGTTCAATTCTGATCAAGGGCATGTACCTTGACTGTGGCACATCCCCAGTAGGGGGTGTGCAGGAGGCAGCTGATTGATGTTTCTCTCTCATAGATGTTTCTAACTCTCTCTTCCTCTCTGTAAAAAAATCAATAAAATATAAAATATATTAAAAAAAAAAAAAAAAAAAAAGCCGAGCAGACCTGACTCAGTGTGGATGTGCTCCCAGACCCTGTGCTGCGTACCCTCCTGCAGGAGTAAAGATATGTGCCTTGCTGCCTGGCTCCTAAGTATGCTTTGAGTTCTACCAGGACCCCAGAATTTGGGGGTTTGCCTTATTTCTTACAATTTGGGGGCTTGTCCGGGATACCATCTGTCATCATGGGATAGGTTGGCCAACTGCAGGAGGTTAGCTGTGGGAGCGCACTGGCCACCAAGGCATCTGGCTCCTGGTGGTCAGTGCGTGTCATAGCGACCAGTTGTTCTGTCATTTAGTCAATTTGCATATTAGCCTTTTATTATCTGTATATATAAAAGCCTAATATGCAAAGTGTCCCCTCGGGAGTTTGACTGGCTCAGAGTTTGATCTCTCACTATGATGTGTGCTGACCACCAAGGGGTGGTGAAAAATGAAGGAAGGCCCTGGCTGGCAGTGGGCAGCCAGGGAAGGGAGGCCCCAGTTGGCAGCCAGCAGCTGCTAGGTATCCTACCCATGTATGAATTTCGTGCACTGGGCCTCTAGTATAGGATAACCAGCAAAGGCTTGTTAACTATACTTGAGATGCAGTTAAAGGGATAGTTGAACAGCTAGATGCCACCAGCAGGATGACCTGAGAGAAAAGATTGGCCTTGAATGATTCTGGAAGAAAAAGGAGGAAGATGTGTAGTGTTGGGGGCCAGTGTTGTACATTCATCCCTGACAACACAGCTCAGGGACCGTCACTGAGCCCTAAGGCATTGGCAGCTTCAGCTGATGAGTGAGCTGGAACCTGGGTTTGAGGCCCCTTTCTCTGATCCGTTAAAGCAATGGTTTGAAAGTGGAGGGGAGCAATGGTATCCACATTCATCCCTTTGTTTAGGAGCTACAGTGATGGGATGTTACATCATCCCATGTATTATCCAAAGGTTAATTGAAAACACATTGACCAAAGAGCAAAACGGTCTTCTAGACACTGTAGAGCATGAAAGCCAATGGATGTCAGCCGAGTTTGAAGAAAAGAGTTTAAATAAAGAAAAGGGGGGGGGGGGATTGTGAGGATAAACAAGTCATCTTTTCTGTTAAAAAACAGTTTAGACAGCAGCCATTTTGGACTGCGTGACTTGGCAGCCGCCATGTTGGCCACATGACTTCCTGCTCCCCTGGGGGCCACCATCTAGAAATGGCAAAGGCCAACCCCTCCCTTTGAATTAGCCAATCACGAAAGACTATGCACCTGAGCTCCAATCAAGAATGAGGGACAGCCGAGAACCGGTTTGGCTCAGTGGATAGAGCATCGGCCTGCGGACTGAAAGGTTCGATTCTGGTCAAGGGCATGTACCTTGGTTGCGGGCACATCCCCAGTAGGGGGTGTGCAAGAGGCAGCCGATCTATGATTCTCTCTCATCAATGTTTCTAACTCTCTATCCCTCTCTCTTCCTCTCTGTAAAAAAATCAATAAAATATATATTTAAAACAAACAAACAAACAAAAGAGTGAGGGACAGGTCACATGCATCAGGATTAAAAGCCGAGCAGACCTGACTCAGTGTGGGTGTGCTTTCAGACCTGTGCTGTGCACCCTCCTGCAGGAGTAAAGATATGTGCCTTGCTGCCCGCCTCCCGAGTATGCTGTGTTCTGCCAGGCCCCTGAATTTGGGGGCTCACCTTACTTCGCACACTCACCTCCAAGGGCTCTTGAGGCTCTGGAGGGAAAGCAGGTATAAGTGCTTCCCCGAAAATAAAACATCCTCCGAAAATAAGACCTACTTCCAGGTTTCCACACTCTGAGTGAAATATAAGGCATCCCCCCGAAAATAAGGCCCCTCCTAAGCTAACCATGAGAGATTTGGTCCACTGATTCTGAAAGAAATGGAGTCACAAGAAATTCACCAGGAAATTCAGGAATTGGATTCTTATGATGATATTCCAGAAGATGATGACATGATTGTCATTGAATAAATGAGTAAATTCTTGATACTGTAGGATTCACAGTTTGTCTGGTTTGTGTTGACAACTGCCGTACTACCGTACAGTATACAGGTAATAAATTTCCTTTATTTTCATTTAACAATAAATGTGTACCGTATTCTTCTTCATGGAAAAATAAGACATCCCCTGAAAATAAGACCTAGCGCATCTTTGGGAGCAAAAAGTAATATAAGACACTGTCTTATTTTCGGGGAAACAGGGTAGACTGCAAGGTGAGTGCTGGCCCGCGCGCTCATTACCCTGATAGCATCTCCTGGAAGGCAGTCCCACTTGGCACTTATCACTTGCCGCCTGACACGTCACACCGTCACACCTGAAGTCCCTTTCACACTGTGAAGCCTCTTTCACGGCTGCGTCTTATCTCCCTCACCCAGACTGTGAGTGCAGAGGGCCCCTGTGGCTCTCATCTGGGCATTTTATTCATGGCGCCCAGCGTGAAGCCGGGCGCACAAAGGTGGGGGCACTGGGTGACCAAGAGGCAGCTGTGTGATTAGCCAGAGCAGCAACCTGACTCCCTGGCTGTGGGGCGCCTCTGCAGCTCACACACTCACGTGCAGCCCTGTTGTGAGGAATGAAGTAAGTGAGGGGGAAAAGCCAGCCCAGTGCCCACAGAAACTAAGGTCTCAATGACGATTTTGTGAGCGGCAAATTCAACGTGCCTTGTAAAAAGAAGCATGCTATACTGATTATTAAGTTTGTCCAGGCCCTGGAGGAGCAGCTCCTGCCACACCAAAGGCTGTGACTAGGAAGTGGTCACCCTTAGGGCCCCGTGACTTGTGGACACATGAGATGCCACGCCCCTCCTCCCCCTGACCTTTCAGTTCCCTCCCTCCACTTACCCTGTCGGACCCAGGACACGAAAGGGGTGGGGTCAGCAGAGGCCACACATTCCATCACCACACTCTGTCCAGACACCACGGTGGTGTTCTCCGGAGCTGCCACAATGACCACGTCCTGCCCGCCGGGAGACGCCAGGGACCCTGGAGAGCGGGCAGACCAGCAGGCAGTCTTACCACAAGGCCCATTAGGTGTCTTCACATGTGTACTTCCCCTGGCGCCCCTGGCGAGGCAGGCAGGGCAGGGAGCGGCCAGGTTCCATCTGACAGATGGGGAAACCCCCAGAGCTGGGACTGGGACCTTTTTCTCTTGGAGCCAGGAGAGGAATAATCGGTTCCCAACACACCGCCCCATTCTTCCTGCCACACGGAACCCAGCCTCCAGGACTGCCAGGGCCATGAGTAGACTTGGAGTCAATAGTCATGTTCCTAGTTCCAACACGTATTATCCTCATAATCCTGCTGGGTGACCTTAGGTAAGTCCCTTCTCAAGGGGTCTCCCATCCCCATGTGTGAAAGGTATGGGGGGTGGGGGTGGGCTGAATTTCTGCTAGCGTGGCAGCTCCCTGAGCAGAGTCCTCCCAAGTTCTCAGTCTGACTCTGTCTCTGGGTCCGCATGTGAATACCTGCTTGGTCCAGCAGATGGAGGCAGAGACCCCAGGCACTGGAGGGAGAGCAAACCAGGCTCAGAGCAGCTCAGGCACTAAGCCCCCAGGAAGTAGGGTGAAATTGGAGGGACTGTGGGGTAGGAGGAGATGTGCCGAAGGGCAGGAGGCAGATGAGAGACCTTGGGGGAGCCTGAAGTAAGATCCGAGGGGCACCTTCGAGGTGCCAGGCACTTTCCTCTCAGCTCAGCTGTTCTCACAACCTCCCAGGCTGGACATTCGATAACCACCTCACAGTCACACAGATGGTGAGTAAAGACGCCAGGATTCAAATCAGGTCTTTCTGACCCCAAAGCCTGTGACCTTCCTATTGCTTCACCCTGGGACATGAGCTTTTCCAAGAAATGGGAAATATAGAAACCCATATGTGGGGAGCTGGGTTTGCAAGGCACAGCAAATAGCGAGAGGTAAACACCCCCTCCCCCCCCCCCCCCCCAGTTCCCTGAGCCCCCAGAGCGACAGGGACCAGGGCTTCAGGGCACTGATACCCTTCCTCAGATGCCTTTCCTCCCCCCTCCCAACCCTGCCCTCAGCCCTAGAAGCTCCAACCAGCCCAAGGGAACGCAGGGTCTCCACAGGAAGGGAACCTGCATTGGGAATCCAGCCAGGTCTCTCCCTGACGCGCTGGGCTTCATCGCCTCTCCCCTCTGATGAGAGTGACACCCCATCACCTCTTTGAAGGCAGGGCTTGGACCTCTGAGGCCTCTCCACGCTGACTCCAGAAACACCCTGGTTTCTCCCAGCAGGGAGCCCCGTACCTCTGGGGGCCACGGTGAGCAGGGCCTCCTGGCTGAAGCGCTGGTGGGCGGAGTTGGTGGCCATGCAGCGGTAGGAGCCGGCGTCACTCTCCTGGACGTCCAGGATCTGGAGAACCCCGTTGGGAAGAGTGATGAGCCTTGGGGAGAGGAAGAGGGCACCAGTGAGGTGGGCAGGAGCACCTGGACAGGGAGAGTGGCGTGCCCAAGTGGGCCTCCCGTTCCAACAGGCAATATTTAGTGTCTCACTCATCATTTTTATTTTTTAAAGCTACTTTATTTTTTATTTTATTTTTTATATATTTTATTGTTTTTTTTTTACAGAGAGGAAGGGAGAGGGATAGAGTTAGAAACATTGATGAGCGAGAAACATCCATCAGCCACCTCCCGCACCCTCCCCACTGGGGACACTCCCGCAACCATCATACAAGCCCTTGACCAGAATCGAACCAGGGACCCTTCAGACGCTCTATCCACTAAGCCAAACTGGTTTTGGCATCACTCATCATTTTTAAAATGCTGATTAGAACTAGAAGGTACCATCTTCACCTGCCAGATATGCCAAGGTCAAAAGGTTAAGCACACCCTACTTGGATGAAGGAATGGGGGGAAGGCGCACCTGCCTTGTCAGTGGCCATGCCAATCCACACACCCTCCTTCAAGGGCAAGCTGGTGACCTCTTCCGCTCAAACCTGCACGTGCCTTTTGACCCAGCAGCACCGCTTTGAGGACTCTATCCCACCGATAGTCTCAAACATCTACACAAAAAATGTATGTTTGACAATATTCACTCCAGTGTTGTCTCCAATAGCAAAAGGCTGGAAACAATCCAGAGTCCATCTGTAGGGTGGGGACTGCCTAAATCGGTTTGGGGACATTCATACAATGGAATGCTAGGCAGCTGCTCCATGTGTGCCGATGATACAGGAATATTTCCACAATGTGTGTGGTGCAGAACAGTGTGTGTGGGGGTGGGATGGGTGGGGGGAGACATATGTGCACATATATGCTGGCACTGAGTGTCCCTGGTGATGGTGGTTGTCTCTGAGGAGGGGGCCCTAGGATCCTGGGAACTGAAAGTGGGTGAGGACTTACTTTTATTATAAACTTCTATACCTCCTTCCTTCCCTGGTAAAGTCTCTTTTATTCACACACTCTCACCTGACCCTCAAAACAAGCCCAAGAAACAAAAGGGATCACAACCTTCATTTTATTGGTGGCAAAACTAAGACTTCGAGAGCAGAGCCTCACAACTGGAGCAGAGTTAAAACTTGAATCCAGGTCTTCTGGTACCAAATCCCATGTTCTTCTCACCTGCCTGGGTCAGCAGCCCTTCGGTGGCTGAGAATGCCAATGGAAGGGACGTGGTCCCAGGAAGCCCAGAAAACATGTATACTAGTGTTACTGAGGAGGAGCAGGCTGGCTGAGGGTAGTCTTCGCTGCCCTCTTGAGTTACAGGGTCGGAACATGGCTCAGGCTAGGAAGGCCCAGTGACCTTGCTTCACAGACAAAGCAGGGAAATGTGTCCATAGAGGCCAGGGTGGTGGGCTCTGGCCCAAACAGGGAATAAGTGGGTCCCCTTGAATCCTCCAACTGTGGTCCCTGCAGGGTCAGCTCGAGGCTGAGAGTTCAAATTTCTCAACAGAGCAAACGGTGCTGGCCCCTGGATATAGGCTGGGCCAAGGTCAAAGAGGAAATGGGCAGCTGTGCATTTGGCAAAGATCCCTTAGCTTATGGGGAAACGGGGTATAAGAAAATCTAAGCACAGGAGATGGGAACTAACTCAAGGGTGTTGGGAGAGAATTCTGACCCAAAGATGTAGAGAAAAAACAGAAATCTGCATCCTCCCTCCCTCACCCCCAAGGCCAACCCACCTATGCCCCAGCATCTTTCCTCAGCTCCCACAGCTGCCCACATCTGTGTTGGGCCAGTGGGGGAGAAGGGACAAGGAGGCCAAGTGTGGTTGGCAGTAAAAGGCTGGGCCAGGACCCAGCCTGCAGCCACAAGACATTTCTTGGGAAAGACCACGTGGAGAAGGACAAGCAGGACGTATATGGGAAACAAAGCTCCCACCCCCATCCAGGCTTCTCCCACCTCATGCACTCAGCCTCCCAGACCCTTCGTGCTTTCCACACTTCTCAACCCCAAGGTTCCCTGGCCTTTCCCTGGGAAATTGTGCTCCAGGTACCCAAGAGCTAATACCTCATTTGGCAAGTAACATGTCCTTAATTATGTGTTGAGTGTATGAATGAATGCCTTTCCTCCGATGTGCTGATGCAACGGCCAACAGAGCGAAATAGAACCACTGTTAGCATTCACCTACAGCAGGGGTGGGGAACATCGGGCCCCTGGGCCAGGTAAGGCCCGAGAAATCATTTGGTCCGGCCCTGCCAAGGCATTGGCGGTGAGTTAATTAAATGTTTGACCCAATACAGCAGACTAATTTTTAAGTTGATAACTGTGTATGGCCCTCAAATGATGTTATAAATATCCAAATGGCCCTTGGCAGAAAAAAGGTTCCCTACCACTGATGTACAATCTTTCCTGTTTGGTTAAAATGTGGTTTTAGAAGCTCTGTCCTTGGAGAGAGGTCCAAGATCTATTGGTTAGTGGGGGAAAGAGTCACAAAACAGTGTTCATGAAGCAACTCTATTTTGGGAACATAAGTGACTTGTTAGGACATGCACACAAAAAGTCAAGGGTGGTAGAGCTCCCATCACTCAGGAACGTGGCCTCTGGAAGTGGAATTACTGGGGACTTATTTGTTGTGCTGCTTTCTTTCTTTCTTTCTTTCTTTCTTTCTTTCTTTCTTTCTTTCTTTCTTTTTTAATTACAGTGTATGTTTATTAGTTTGGAAATATAAAACTTAAAAAAAAAAAAGTATGTGTTTTGTACACTGTTCTGTAACTCCAGCCTCAGTGGCAGATTGGAGAGAATTAGCTCCAACATTTTAGCAAGTGACATCACATGTCTGTGCCTCAGCTTCTCATCTGAAAAATGGGTTAAACCATTTCTGTCTTACCTCCTTTACAACCCTAGCCCTTTTTAAAAAATGTATATATATATATATATATATATGAGCCCAGTATTGGGGTTCAGTTCAGTTGGAAGTAGAGTTGGAGGTGGTGTTCAGAACAGTCCGAAGCCCCAGTCTCCTTCCTGCCAGGGCAATCCCACAGCACAGCCAACAGTCCCTTCTCTCTCTCTCTCTCTCTCTCTCTCTCTCTCTATATATATATATATATATATATATAAATGTATATATATATATATATATACACACACACACACACAAAGGAAAATCCAAGATGGCTGCACAGGTAAACACCTAGCCGCAGCTGCACACAACAATTTCAATAAAATACAACTAAAATATAAAATGGACATTAAACAGTACTACAGTAAAGTCGACTGACTGGAAATTCTACAACGAGAAGCAAGGAGAAATCCAGAAGGAAGAGCGGAGGAGCTATAAAAGCCTAAGGTACGGAGACACGCGGCGCGCGTGGAGAGACGGAGCCTGAGAAGAGGGCGGCTGAGTGCCTGCCTGGCGTTCCCTAGCAGGAAGGAGATAAAAGTTCCGACTGTGCTGGGCCCCAGTTCCTACTGCTCTGAACCTCAGTTCTAGGCCAGACCCCGGGGACCCAGGCTCAAACAGAGGGAGGTGGGCTGTAAGGCGGAACCCCGGGGGAGCAGCGAAAGGAGGTCCCAGCAGCGCGCACATTGCCCGCAGAGAAGGGACGGTTGGCTGTGCTGTGGGATTGCCCTGGCAGGAAGGAGACTGGGGCTCCGGACTGCTCTGAACGCCACCTCCAACTCCACTTCCAACTGAACTGAACCCCAATACTGGGCTCATTGGGGGAGAGCCTAGACTGTTTGGTAGCAGGCGAAAATCAAGGGCGCCTTTCTCTCAGAGGCACTTGCAATGAGTACTGAAGGACCCTGAGACTCAGGAGCCGCATAGGGCGGGGCTGATGGAAGCCAAAGCTGTAGGCTCCACCCTAAAACCCTCGCCCTATCTAGGAAACTTCGAAAAAGCCGAGACGAAATAGATCACAAACGAAAGAAATGGAGGACAAAAAGCGACTGGATATAGAGTTCAAATCTACGCTTATAAGGTTTTTCAAGAATTTCCTAGAAAAGATCGATAAGACCTATGAGGATATGAAAAGGGATCAACTAGAATTAATAAGGAATCAATAAGAAATGATAAGGGATCAACAAGAAATAAAGAATACATTGTCTGAAATAAAACATATTACACAGAGTCTTAAAAACAGAATGGAAGATCGCAAGAGTCAAGTCAAAGATTTGGAACATAAAGAGCCAGAAGCACTCCTCCACAGAAGCTAGAAGGCAAGAGAATCCAGAAAATTGAAGATGATGTAAGAAACCTCTGGGACAACTTCAAGCGATCCAACATCAGAATTATGGGGGTCCCAGAAGATGAGAGAGAGCAAGATATCGAAAACATACTGAAAGAAATAGTGACAGAAAACTTCCCCCACCTGGTGAAAGAATTAGACTTACAAGTCCAGGAAGCGCACAGAACTCCAAACAATAGGAATCCAAAGAGGACCACACCAAGACAAATCATAATTAAAATTCCAAGAGCAAAAGACAAAGAGAGAATATTAAAAGCATCAAGAGCAAAGCAGATAGTTACCTATAAAGGAGCACCTATACGATTGTCAGCTGATTTCTCAACAGAAATCATGTAGGCCAGACGAGAATGGCAAGAAATATTCAAGGTGATGAATAGTAAGAACCTACAGCCAAAGATAATCTATCCAGCAAAGCTATCATTCAAATCAAAGGTCAGATAAAGAGCTTCACTAATAATAATAATAAAAAAAATAAAAGCTAAAGGAATTCATCAACACCAAACCAGAATTATATGAATTGCTGAATGGGGTTCTTTCAGAAGAGAAAGTAAATAAAGATAAAAATTATGAACAACAAATACGTAACTATCAACAAGTGAATCTAAAAACCAAGAAAATTAAAAAAAAATCTGATGAACAATATTAACTGTTGAATATAATAGAATCAGAGGTATGGAAGGGGAGTGAACTGACAATTCTTGGGGAAAAGGGAAGAGGGGGATGTGGGAAGAGACTGAACATAAACTGTGCACCTATGGATGAGGACAATGGGGAGTGGGGAAAGGGCAGAGGGTGGGGTGGGAACCTGGTGGAGGAGAGCAATGGAGGGGGGAGGGAGAGGAACATTTGTAATAATATAAACAATAAAAAATTATTTAAAAAAAATATATATATACTTTATTGATTCTTTTACAGAGAGGAGGGGAGAGGGATAGTTAGAAACATTGATCAGCTGCCTCCTATACACACCCCAATGGGGATGTGCCCACAACCAAGGTACATGCCTTGACCAGAATTGAACCTGGGACCCTTCAGCCTGCAGGCCGATGCCTATCCACTGAGCCAAACTGGTTCAGGCAACCTTAACCCTTTTAACATCTATGAACTCACATTAGATAATGGCCATAAACACCTACCAACCACAAACTCTAAACACATCTTCACAATGGTGCAAATGGCACACATATTTAAAAAGACTGGAATACTCAAAAATGGTCATAGCTGTCTGTGCTCAGCTGGAAGATGATCCCCCCCACCTTAAAGTTAGCATAGTTTATCATTTAAAAATTAATTCAAATTTCAAATAAAACAAAATAGCTACTTATAAAATGAAAAGCAATCTCTACCCAAAAGGGAGGAATTCTCTTTCCAAGCTTGAGACTGAGCTTGCGCCCGCAGCCCCACTCCCCCGAGAGGCCACTTGGACCCAGGGGTTCAGGAACACAGAATAAATGCCCCAGAGACTCTGAGTTTCCTGAGGCCAAAGAGCCTCACCCTAAGCCCTGCGGAGGTGCCCTTGGGGCAAAAGACACTAGCTGAGGGTCATACCATGTTGACAGACTCGATGGACACTGGGAGATGGCCGGGCGGAAGACTGGATGAAGGAGCCCATGGAATTTGAGTCCATTAGAGCCATGTTTTCAAGGTGTGAGTGAATGGCAATTACAAAATGACTTCAAATGGATCCAGACACACTTTCTTTTTCTTTTTTTTTTTCATTCCAGAGCTTATGTATTTATTTTTATGGCCACCTTCTATTTATGGTAAAGTATTGCTGGTTTTCCATTTTACTGCAGTGAGATAATGTTTCTTTTTAGTATGTGTTAAGTTACTAAAGAGAGAGTTGATTCTAAGAAATGTATTAAGTAAGTGATTGTATAAATAGTTTAGGGACAGCCAACATTATAAAGGAGGTTTATGAATGCCTAGATTTTGGAAAACATTACTCTCATTGATGACTGGTTCCCATGGAAGAAAAATTATCCTCTATCATTAGAAATTAGTTTAAGTGCCAGGGAATTGCCTTAGGGTCTAGTCTTCACCATCAGCTTCAAAAATATGCACATAGACCCTGACAGAGTGCATTTATTAACTGCACATGTGCACACCCTACACCAAGGCATATGGTCTCCTTCAAATCTCTGGGCTGAGTTTATGAATAGCATATTTGTACATGTACTATATCTGGGCATGTGTAAAAATACATACCTTGGGCATAATCGAGTTGCTGTTTTAGACATTTCTTTATTCCCCCCACACAATGTGCTAGGACATGTGAGCCCGGCTTATTTATAGATGAGGATCACTTTTCAGAGGACTTGGGGGCAAACACTCCCAGAGCTCAGGAACTGGCAGCTCCAGGCTCCTGGGAGAGGCCTGTGGCTTCATGGAATGGTGCCTGAACTCGATGCTGGGAGGTGAGGTCTGAATCCCACTGCTCGCTCAGAAACTTTGGGGAAAGAACGTCTCTGCTCTGAGCCACAGCTGGACCACCCGATCTCTAAGCCCACCTGCAGGGGAACTTCCTCAGACACTGCAGCTGCCCCACAACAACCCCCAAATCACGAGAGGCTTGGGTATCATCCATGCCATGCTCTGGCATACTAGCTGGGTGACCTGGGCCAAGGTATTCCTGTCTCTGATCTCTAGTTCCCTCATAGAACAGTTTGGACAATAATACCTGCCAAAGCTATATGTTCAGACCGAGAAGGATGTTTATTATGTGCTAAGTAAAAAAAAAAAAAAAAAAAAAAGTAAAAGTTGAAACATAACCCCATATTTGTTTTTGGGAAAAACACACACACACACAAAGATGACTGAGCCTGGCCAGCATGACCCAGTGGTTGAATGTCGACCTATGGGCCAGGAGGTCATGGTTCAATTCCCTGTCAGGGCACATGCCTGGGTTGTAAGCTTGGTCCTCAGTGTGGGCATGCAGGAGGCTGCTGATCAATGATTCTCTATAATCATTGATGTTTCTCTCTCCCTCTCCCTTCCTCTCTGAAAAAATTTTTTTTTAAATTACCAAACAAAAACCCCCAGTATGTACAATTTCTAAAAAGAATACGTATAAACATGCAAGGGGAAAGTCCAGAGGATAAACATCAGAACTAAGAGTGGCTTTCTATGGGTGACAGGTAATCTTTGTTCTTTTTTATTTATATGAATTTGAAAATCCATTTTGTAGGAATATACACTAAAAGAGGATAACATGAAAAATAAGAAATACCTACCTCGAGGGATGAAGGGTTAAGTGAGAAGACATAGCTCTCATTAAGTGGTTTTGCTCTCTCCCACTCTCCCGGGGGGAGGTGGGAGAGAGGAGAGGTGCCTGCCAGGAGTAGGCTCTCACTTGTTCTAACCCACCAACTCCCAGCAAGCACCACCAGATAGCAGTGAGCAGCCCCACATTTGGAAGGCATAGAATTTGATGTGTCAGTATTCCTGTGGTCTACTTCCTAGAATGCTCAATCATGGAATGCTGCAAGAGGGGCTCAGGCAGATGAGTCTAGGAAGTGTCTGGTTAAACAAGTTAAACAGCTTTTCTGTACAGGACTTCTCAGTGCCTTGTCAATTCCAAGAGTGAGATTTCTAGGCAGTTTCCTGACCTTAACTATAGAATAGTTCCCTCCATGCCCCCCCCCCCACACCTAAAAAAAAAAAAAGTCTCTTTTGGGACTAATGTTCTACAAAAGAACACACTTTAGGAAACCAGGATCTAATCCAATCCTTGCATTCCATCCCCTCTCCCTCCCTTAAGTGAGAAGTGACTTGCTGAGGACCAATGGAGCTAACCGATCAACATGGTGACTTCTATCTTGACTTCTCTCCCTTTTTTCTCCTTCACAACTGTTTCAGAGATGTGTCATTGGCTTTTCTACCAAAAGTTTCTCCTACACTTTCACCCCTACCTAGACATGGGCAAAAGTGGGAAGAGCTGGGACAACTCAACACACTCAAGAGGGGTTAGTCCCAGGGCAGGGAGGTCTGAAGACCAATGTTTCTGAGCCGAAGGAACACCACCTCCACCAGGAGAGGGTGAGGTCGTGATTACGGCGAGAGAGACGCAGCCAGAGGCGGAAAAGCCCCGTGGAGCCACGCTTCCATCGATGTAAGAATCCGTGGGATGACAACCGCATCGTGAGATCAGCTAAGAGTGAATGAGCCTCGTGCCTTCTGGTCAGGCGGCAGGTAGATCTGGGCCTACCCAGGAGGCCACAAGAGGGTTTAGCCTCTGCTTCTTTTCCACCTTAGAAGCGCTTCCCTGGCATGTGCCCACTGACTTCATGGGGACAGAGGAGGTTGAAACAGGAAGGACCTCCACAACCCATTTCTCAGATGCTGCTGGATGACCTGAGAGAGGAAGAGAGGCAGAAACCCCAGAAGAACCTTGCAAAGAGAATACCTTTCCAGCAGGCTTGGGGCCTTGAACAAATAAACATTCTGCTCACGATGCATGGTGTGGCTTTGGATAAACCACTTGAATAAACCTCCCTGGTCCTGAGGTTCTTAATGAAGCAAATGGTTGGTCTAGAGATGCTCTGAAGGATTCTACCACTACTCGCCACCCACCCTCCATGGCTTATGGGGAGATTTTCCTCCCAGGGAGCAAAATCTTCCTGCCCTACTTGTCCTTGGACCAGAAATGAGCTCCAAGTCCAGCAGTGTAGGCTTCCTGCCTCTAAGAATGTAGGCTTCCTGCCTCTAAGAATCCCTGAGCCCTCCCCGGCCTGCCCACTGGGCGCCACTCTCCACGCCCCTCCAGGGCACTCACCGAGGCTCCGTCGGCACTGTCACCTGGTCCTTCTCCCAAGTAATGGTGGGTGCTGGCAGCCCTTCAATGTGGCACTCAAACCGAGCCGTCCCGTTCTCCTCCACTGTCTGAGACTCCGGGTGCAGAGAGAAGCCTTCGAGTGCTGAGGATGGGACAGTGACACACAGGCGGGGACAGGAGAGGGACAGGGAGGACAGGCCACCCCACGCACAGACAGTGAAACACACACACACACGAGAGACACAGGTGACAGAGTACACGTAGAGCAAATTCAGACCAACACAGACACAGGTGGAGATGGTAAGAGTGACCGTTACTGGTCAGATGCTGTGAGTTCCACAGTCCCCAGGCTTCACATCAGAATCACGGTCAGCCTACAGTAAGGATGAACGCCTTTTCTGTCCTGAAAATTACTTCATGGTGATCTGTGCCTCCCGAGGGCCCCAAAGGGTGGACTGGACAGCGGGGCTTGACTCCACAGACTCCACCTACTGTGAGGTGGGAGCTTTCTGGAGAGACACCTTGGTGTCTCGCATTCTCCCATAAGCCCCTGTGGCAGGCTTCCTGGAGGAAGCGCAACTTCAGACTCTCACACTCCGTGGGAAGGAAAAGGAGCAAGAACAGGAGCGGAGAAATGGGACTAATGAACGGTGAAGCCGACAATGCCAGGGGGGGCGGGGAAGGGGCCTGAGCCGAAAAGAGAGGCCTGTGTGCGGGTAACAATCAGGATCCCACTTCCCACACCCCAGGCCTCCGGGGTCCCAGCTCAGTCCCCCCGAGACGAGCACTTACTGGCGAGCTTGACCACTGCAGCCTGGCTGGCCACTGCCCCGAGTGGGCCGTGGGCCAGGCAGGAGTAGCTGCCCTCGATGACATCGGAAGCTCTGGGGGCTGCCTCAGCGCTGCCTGTGGGCGCTGGCGGCCGGGACAGCCACAGGGAGCCGTTGGGCAGCAGGCGCAGGTGGCTGTGCTCCGGGAGGGCTCCTCCGTCTTTGCTCCACGTGACGCTGGTGGGGGGTCCGGCTGCGACGGTCCCCAGACGACAGTCCAGCACCGCCACCTGCGCTGGGCCCAGGACCACTTGTACCGGCCCCGGCCCACAGCTCAGCTCCACGGTTGTCTCCTGGGGCAACGGCAGCTCCCCTGCGTAAGAGGAGGGGACGCCGGGGCCATCAGGATGTGTCCTCCCACCTCCCCCAGGCCCCAGTTCCAGAGTCACCCAACCACGCAGGGCCTGGAGCAAATGGTCTCATGGGAAGACTTGAGTCTGGATCCTGGCTCTGTCTCTCACTAAGTGTGCTTTGGGGCAAACTGCCCACCTTCCCACACACTAAAATACACAGTTCTACCGATACCAGTTTGGCTCTGTGGATAGTGCGTCGGCCTGCAGACAGAAGGGTCCCAGGTTCGATTACGGTCAAGGGCATGTACCTTGGTTGCAGCACATCCCCAGTAGGGGGCAAACAGGAGGCAGCTAATCGATGTTTCTCTCTCATCGATGTTTCTAACTTCTCCCTTCCTCTTTGTAAAAAATCAATAAAATATATATTTTTTAAAATACACAGTTCTTAGCATCATTATTCGTAATAGGCAATAAACGGAAATAACACAAATGCCCATCCCCTGATGAATAAATACATTACTCAACCGCAAAAGGAATGAAGGACTGATATGTGCTTCAACATGGATGAACCTTGAAAACTTTAGGCTAAGTAAGAGAAGCCAGTCACAAGATGCCGCATACTGCATGATCTCATTATCATGAAATGTCCAGAATAGGCAAATCATAGAGACAGAAAGTAGATTAATGGTTGCCAGGGATGAGGGAGAGGAAAGAATGGGGAGTGACCGTGAAGGGATATACACTGTTTCTCTTTGAAGTGATGAAATTTTCTAGAATTAGATAGTGGTGATGGTTGCACAACCTTGTGAATATACTAAACACCACTCACTGATGTGTACCCTTACAGGGGTGAGTTTTATGGTATGTGAATTGTAGCTCAATGAAAAGCAAGACAGCCCAGCCGGTGTGTCTCAGTGGTTGAGCATCGACCTAGAACCAGGAGGTCGCGGTTCTATTCCTGGCCAGGGCACATGGCCAGGTTGCGGGCTCGATCCCCAGGGTGGGGCGTGCAGGAGGCGGATGATCATCTTAATGTTTCTATTTTTTTCTCCCTCTCCCGTTCTCCCTAAAATCAATTTTATATATATATATTTAAAACCCACAAAAATAAACAAGACACAGTGATGGCTTCCCGATAAGGCGGCTGTGAGCACTGAATGAGATGATCTGTGGGAAGGAGCAGAGCACAGTGGGACAGAACGGGGGAGGGGGGACAGTGATGTCACTTGCTCCTCTGAAACCTTACAGATCCTCTTGACCACTATAGCCCTACCCATTCCTGCCCCGGGGCTGGAGAAGCGAGGCTCTCCTTCCTGCAGCTCCCTTCCCCGGGGCCGCGCAGCAAGCCCGAGCCTGAACCCAGGCTCCAGAGGAGCCAGGAGAGCCTGCAGCTCCAGCACTGTCCATGTCACAAAGGGAACAATGGCGGGAGGAAGTGCCGTCTCAAGACAAAAACACACGATGGCCAACCCATACTTATTATTTTAGCCAACTTTTCAGCAGAACCCGGGAGGCGTCATTCTCAGAGAATCTGGTTCTCCCAGCGTGTCTCCCAGAGGGTGACCCGCTGCCTCCTGACCCATAAAATCTCAGTGGCCCAACGTCACTTCTCATCCTTTGGCCTGACTCCTTCCTTCAGGGCGGGACGAGGCATCAGAGTGAACCAGGGACAACGGCCCCTACGCATTGCAAGGCAGGTGAGGCCTGACAGGACCACGTGGGGCTTACAGAAAGCACACTGACTGCGAAATCAGGGACCCAGCTCTGTCACAGTCTGCTGTGTGGCCTTGGGCCAGTCACTTCTCCTTCTCGACTGAGTTTACTCAAAGGTAGGTGTGGTGTCTGAAATTCTGCGATTTTAGGATTAATGAACCTGTTGCTGAAGAAACCTAGAGCATCCTCTGAACATAGACACAAACTGCAGATACAACCTTTCACACCTGAACACATGCACCCCAGGCTCTGCCACACTCGTTGGAACTGGACACGTATACCTCCACTTAGACCCCCTGTCTGTCCCCGGGCTCCCTTCCCACTGTCCTCAAAGAAGAACATACTGAGGGGAGAAGTGCACTCCTGGCTAAGGAAAGGAGGCCGTGGCTCTGAGGCTGAGGGTGAAGGATAGACAGGCATGGCCTGAACCAGGCCTCCGCCTTTCCTAACCTATCAGAAAGGCTCAGCTGAAAGGCCCTCCAGCTACACCGCGAGGCTCAGCATTACCAGTGGGTGCAGGGAGGGGAAGGCATCCTTTGCTCTCACCCAGTTTCCATTCTAACTGGGGAAACAAAATCGGCATTCACATCATTGCCGGCCGTTTGTTGTGGTAGAAAGAGTATCTGACCTTGGCATAGAAGGCCAAGGCTCCAATCGTGTTCTTCCACCTACCAGCTGTGTGACAAGACACTTAACCTTTCTGGGCCTCAGTTTCCACACCTGTAAGGCAAAGAGGAGATCACCAGGCTCGGCAGGATTAAACCAGATGATGGGAGTCAGGGCTCCAGCCTGGTAAGCATCCATCAAGGGAAATGGGAGCTCACTCTTCAAAGGCACTGAGAGGGGCTGCACAAATGGTAATGACTGTTCCCAACATCCAGTCCCTTCTACCTCTGAGGCCTGAGACTATGATTCAAACGCAGGCAAGTCTGGGCTCTCGGCCCAGCGGCTCCCAATTGCTGGGTTCCAGCCGCTAATCAGCCCGTTGGAGTTTCAGGGGAGAAAAAAACCCCACTGACATGAAGCCCTGAGCCTTCCCGCGGCCTTCCCGCCCCCCAAAGCACGTTAGGGCTTGGAAAATCCCTGCTGCGCTTAACAAACAATGTGAACAGTTGGGGCCGGAGCAGCTGCTGGATATGTCAGCAGCCTGGGCTCTGGCGGGCAGGACCGCGGCCAGAGGGGCCGGGCGGCTGGCTGGGGAGCTCGGAGGAGGCTCCGGTTCCCGTCCTGAGTATTCATGGATCAGCAGATGCCTGGCGTCCGCACCTTTGAGGAGCTCGGCAGCACCCAGCGAGGCAGAACGGGGAAACCAACAGCGAGGGACACACAGAGAGAATGAGGAGGGGACAGGGCTGTGCCAGGAGCCCGAGCCCACGTTGGAAGCCCGCGATTCCTCACGTTACAGAGGGGAAACTGAGGCCCGGAATGAGGGTCTCATCTCTCCTGGATAAAAGGTTTCTATTATGTGCCCCACCCAACCCCAGTGGCCCGGACATGCATCCTTAGGCACTCAGCTCAGGCACTGGCCCTGTCTTCCTCGGAGAGTTTTTCCTGAGTCCCATCACACGGCCACTTGGAGATCCACCCTTCCTCTTGCCTAGATGGGCAGTGGGACTTAGTAGACCAGGCCTTGACCTAGACCTAGAGTCAGAGTCCTGGGTTCATTTGTCGTATGACCTCGGGTCCATTACTTTCCTCCTTTTCCACAGTTTTGAAGATGGAGAACCTCCACATTTCTCATTTTCACCAAGATCCGCCCAGCAGCAGAGAGGAGCATCCTCAGGAGGCTTGCTGACTGCCCGAAAGGGTTTTATCTTAAACCTCTGGCACAGTTTGCATTCTGCTCATTACAAACAATGTTTGTTTCTATATAAATGTGGTTTCTACACCATCAAATCTTCTCGTAAAAGTGATGCTCTGGGGAGTGGGCATCATTTGTCCAGTGGCTTTGTGGCCAGCCCTATCCTGCCTCCCACTCCCCCTCCCGCAATGGCTGACCCCCAAAGCCCCTCCCACAAGCATTTCTCAGCTGCCCCCCCAGGGCTGGGGCAGACACAGGGGACACTTGCTGCTGCCAGCTTTCTGCCTCGGGGGCCTCTCTCTCCCAGGCCCCTGTCTCCTTCGTGAGACCAGGCCAGAGACGCAGAGCTGCTATGGCAGAGCTGTTCTGCTCGGGAGCCCCACGGCCATCTCCCGATCTCCTTTTTCTGACAAATTATTTTACCCGTTTACAGGATAAATTAGATTTTGTGAGGCCAATTAGAACTCAGACAGAAAGGAGATCCGCTGCTGAGCCCCAGGGTCAGCTCAATGCCGTTTAGGGGGATTTGCAGGGGCCTTGGTGTGAGCCAGGGTTCCATTTTTCAGCGAAGTCGCAGGAGAGAGGCGGATGGGGGGAGGGGAACGAAGCCAGATGCCTCCTTAATTAAGGAGAACTTGCCACAAACATCAATGCCCTGTCACTTCTGAACTCCAGGGCCCAGCAGATTTACAACTTGTTTTTGATCTGGGGCAATTCTCCATGACACCATCCCCTCTCTCCTTTCCCAGGAGACACAAGTCAGTTTTTTCCAGAAACTGCCCTCCCTGCCCCCCACCTGGGCCCCCTCCCTAACCACAGGCCAAGCCCCTCCCACTAACAGCTGGAGAGAGCGCCTCAGACGGTTGCCTGGGACACCAGCAAAGCGGGAGCACCCCGTTCAGCTGACTTGACAGCAAAGCCACGCTCAGCTGCTTACCTCCTGCTCCCTGAGACCTCTGTCCCCACCAGGCCAGGCCAGACCAGGCCAGGCCACTCTGGAAGCACGTTGCTGTTCCGTGCGATGCTCATGCTGCTGCCTCTCCCTACAACAGCTGAGCCCATCCAGGGTCTGATTTAGATGCCTCTCCTTTTGCTTCCCTAGAAGACCCTGGGCACCTTGATCATGGTCATTACCATTCTAACTTTTTTTTTTATTTGCTTTTCTCCCAACGAGGCCACAAGCTCAAGAGGATGTCCTCATCAGCTTTCTAAATCCCTAGTGCCTGGCACATTGTAGGTGCTCAAAAAATAGTTTTTGAACACATGAGTGCACACACGGAACACGCTCAAGAACATACACACAGAGCCCCTCATGCTCTTCTGAGCCTCCATTTCCTTATCTGTAAAAACTACAGGCATGTCCCTCAGGACTGGAGGTTACGTGAAAAATGTATGTGGAAACTGCCTTGCATACTATGTGGCACCTCGTAGACACCTAACAAAAATACTTAAAAAGCACAGAGACAGAACAGCAAACGCAGGCTGACAGAAACTCTGTACTTAAAC